AATTACGAGATTTTCAAATAAACAAAATATGAAAACCGATATTAATTTACCGTACTTATGAATAGCACGTGGACCTCATGAAGTATACGCACCAAGATGGCGCACAACCTGAACTCAGGTTAGGGTTCAGGTAATGCGTACCTCCTACAAATCTTGGTGCGCATACTTCAGGAGTACCTGAATTAATGCAATTGATCCAACTATGCTGTGTTTAGAACACAACATATCAAATTGAGTTTTAATTTGAGAAAAGTAAACTCGAAATCTTCTTCTACTCCTAGCCTTGATCTGTATTTGTTTGAAAATATGATAACGCAGAAAACGTTCTTTCACGTTTGGAACAATTGTTTTAAATCAAGTTTTTGTTTTGGCTGTATCATTTGGCTGTTAAATTTGTTTTTAGAAAATTTCCATGTCCTCAAATAGTTTCAAACTATTTTTTTCCATTTTATTTCTAATATTTTATGTTACCTAATTATGCATAGAAATGACATGAAAAAACATGTTTTATGTCATCGTGAAAGTGATTGTGATTTAATTTAAATTTGACGTACGACTGGAATCACTCTGCATAGAGAGTCTAAAATTAACGAAATCTTTCTATGCAGAGTGATCGAGTCGTATGCCAAATTTAAATTAAATCAAAATCAGCTAATTAAATTTAACTAAACATTGTAAATAATTCCTAAAGTTTCTTTCAAACTTTTTCGATTATTAATTTGAACAAAATTTTGAATGTGAAGGTATGTTTGATATATTATTACGTTTTGCTCTTCAAGTCTTGGACATCTCGAAATAGTAACAGATTTCTCATATTTTAGTAGAGAGTTTATTTGTTTTGTCAAACAGAAAACAATAACACGACAAAATATAATTGTATAAGCAACGAAATCTCGGTATAGACTGTATAGCAACTGGTATCAATACGATCATGTGGACATCGAGATTAGTTACCAGTACCACTCAATATTTATGACGTGAAAGACAATGGCTTTAGATGTGATAAGACATCTAGGATGTGATATTGTAGTTTTGTCCGAAACCATCAATAACTTTCAATGGAAGAATAATTTAGTTGCTGGCAAGCGTTTGGGATGATATAAGCATCAATTAAATATACCTAGACATAAATTCAGACAAATTAGTTGTTTGATCAATTATGATATTAACGAATTTGACATTTTTGATTGATGACTAAAATAATAAGAGAAGGTTTTCATGTGAGTGTTTGGCATTGGTTACTTAAAATATGTAAATGGTGATTGACTCAAAGTAGCGTCTATATAGGGGCATTACAACGTCACTGCAATAGTCAAGTTGTTCGAGTGTTAAAGTTCGGAGCAACAAAGTAGGTATAAAAAAGCAATCATATCAAAATCGAGCTTAATTGTTTTTGTATGAATAAGCTCTACAAGCATCTTGTAAAATATCAGGAAGAATACCATGTTAGAATGTAATTTACACTGATTTTTCATTCTTTTAGTTAGGTACCGAATTCTATGAGAATGTCTTTAAGAGATGAAACGCTATTCAGAAGATGTTAAATAGGCGAAACATATCTATAGTGCAGGGTGGTCGAAGGGCCACAATTAGTTCCCGAATGATCGCGCGGGCCACTTAACATGGTGGTTATGTTCTAGTTTTAACTACGCCGACTGCAGATTAATGAAAAACAAACAAAACCTTCAAACCAAAATCATAAGCTCAATGAAAATACGAAGATACAGTAAAGTTCAAAGTTTTTACTACGCATATATATATATTTCAATGTCAAGTATGACACCGCTTTTATCTATTAAGTTTGTCAATATTCGGTGTGATGGACGAGGCAGCAATGCAGAGCGAATTTTTCATTAGCAAAATTAGTGATCTCATGGGGATTTGACATGGTTCATCTGTGAAAAAACTTGCTCGCACAAGTAAGTGCCGTCAAATATTGAGGTCATGAAAACTGCCTTTTTTTAGCTTCGCAGAAAAAAAGACAGGAAATCATCAGACAGGCCACTCGGAAACCTTCGGCGGGTCACATGTGACCCGCAGGCAATGGGTTGGACGACCCTGCCTTAGTACCACCCATATATATTCCATCTGATGCATATAAGGATGTACAAAGTCGAAATGAGAAAAAGTTTTTAAAACAAATGGGTCCAATCAGAAGATTGCACTCGAAATGTTACGGTAAATCTTTTAAATGTTTATGTAAATATGAAATGATAATTATACGGCTATGTGCTATTCGGTGAAACCTTTTAAAAATTAGTCTGTTAAATTCTAGATTAGCTGGATAACATTGGATGCCACATTTGAAATATACAGGGTGGTCGCTAGAAAAGCAGAAATTTGGAAGCTCGAATGAGATCAGGGATAAAATGCATTCTTACTAGTTTCTTGGACTAAGATACTGCACTGCACAGACGACATTTTAAGCATCCATGAATGTAATATATATAGCATATGTCTTTTATAATTTCATTGAAGTTATTCTTTGTAAAAAGTTTTGATAATTTTTTTGCTTTTATAGCGAGAACCCTGTAGTTCGCATAGACAGGCAACAGTAGCAATGAATAAACTGTAAAACAAGTATTATGAGAATGATTGATTACAGTTGATCTAATGACTCGTTTTCAGGCATGTATTTCTCGATGACCTCCAATGAGGCCAACATTACGACATATTTAAAGAAAAATGGTAATTCTATAGATTCGATTTCATCATGATGACAGAACAGCATCATGGTTCAACATGATCATATATATTGCCAAACATAGCGCATATTCAAATAATTTAATGAAAAATATACACGTATATATCATAGTTTAAATAAACTATGTAACTAAACTTACTTAAAAATTGAACAAGTATCTTTTTAATTTGATACTGAACGTCTAATACATTTAAAACAAGTATCGGAGAGTATGGAATAAATAAATAAAAATATTTTACGCCACCTCGTGAATTCTTTAGAAATGTAGAAAAATTACAGTTTTGAATGAGCGATTTTTCGAAAACCTACTATAAAGCCAGCATTACAACATATTGGGAGAAAAAAAGAAATCTTGTAGATTCGAATTCATCATGGCAGAATAGTAGTAGCACGTTTTAACTGGCCAATATAATACCAAAAACATAGTGTATATTCCGATAATTTTATGAAAAATATATATTTATCATAGATAAACGTGGTTTTGTATTTTAGATGAATTTAATAAATAATTGAACAATTACCTTTTTTACCATCTCATACACCGATACGGAACGTCTAATACACTTGGAATAAGTGAGGAATGATATAAAATTACTACAAGCATTATACGGTCTCTCGTGAATTTTATTTTTTATTTTGAATAATTACAGCTTTGGTTGGTCGATTTCTTGAAAACCTCCGATGAACCCAACATTACGTAATATTAGAAAAAAGGAGAACCCTTCTAGATTCCATTTCATCATAGTAGAACCGTAAATATATACTACTACAGTAGCAGCGCGGTTTGATATGGTTGTATATAATCACAAACACAGCGTATAATCTTCGATTTTTTAACAATTCGAAAAATATTTCAATGGGCTTTTGTGGTTCTACTCAAATTTACTAAACACTTGAGTAAATATTTTCTAAAACTATTGTCTAAATTCCGTGTTCTACGTCTATCAAGTTGTTGTAATTTGCGTAAATAGGTCTTCTTCAAACAGTGATTTCTTAGAAATTTCAAATAAAGGCAACATTAGGACACATTGGGAGAGAAGGAGAACCCTTCTAGATTCTATTTCTTCATAGTAGAACAGTAGCAGCACGGTTCGACAAGGTCGCATATAATACCAGCCGTAGCGTAGCCTATATTCTTCGATTTTGTAACTTAAATGTAACGTATTTTGTAAAGGTTTCGTATTTTAACTGAATATGCTGAATGATTGAACAATTATTTTTTTACCTTTGTCATAAATTAATACTGGAAACCTATCAAAGTTGGAATAAGTTGCGGATAGCTTACTTTGAAATAACAAAAAAAAACTTTCACGCCCACCCGTAAACTCTTTTCAAAATTTTCAATATATCATTTTTGGAATGGCTATATCTCGAAAACGTCTTATAAGGGTAGTATTATGACACATTGGAAGAAAAGAAAAACCCTCATAGATTCCATTTCATCACAGTAGAAGCACGTAGATACAAACACAGCGCATATCCTTCGATATTTCAACAATTCAGACGTAAAATATTTTGAATTGGTTTTATGTTTTATTTAAATCGATCAATGTCAACGTCATCTCGAGAAAAATAAACTTTTCCAAGAAGCGATTCTCGAAAGCATCCACTTTAAAATATGTTACATTTATACGCTATGTTTGTAAATACATACGGCCATGCTGCTACTGTTTTGCCACGATAAAATCGAATCTATTACGTCTCCCCTTTTTTCCCAGTGTGTCGTATTGCTGCCTTTATATGAGGTTTTCCAGAAATCGTCCAACCAAAATTGTAATTTTTCAGAATTAAAAAAAATCCACAAAAGGATATATAATGTTTATTGTTATTTTATAATACCTGTAACTTATTCCAAGTGTAAAAACGTTCAGTATCAGTGTATGTGTAAATATCGTTCAAAATCAAAAAACAATAAATAACAATATCATTTCAGATCACACTATAGGACATGCATTTTTTGGATTTCCATAAATAATAGAACATTATAGCAGCAAACAAGCAAACAATATTAATAAATTCCATAAACCATTCCATAGATAATTTTGGAATAAAAACATAGAAATAAATAAATAGTAATATTACTCAATAACACAGACATAAGAGTATTTTTTCATAACATGTACATAACAGTTTTATTCAAATTATTTTACAGAATAAACATGAAAGATTTTTTTTTTAAATCTCACACTTTCAAATATATATTACATAAGACTATAAACAAATGAATAAAAAACACAGTTGTCAGTTTTAAGCTAAGTAATCAATGATTATATAAATAAACACCATTTTGTATTATGTATCAGGATTTTACCATTTTTCATTGCTATATATTTCTCATTGTTTCGAATATCAGAAATGAATTTATAAAAAACATCAAAAACTGGTTTACGCTTTTGAATCCGGCATCTATATATAAAGAAACGTGCAGCTAACAGCACACAGTTGATGAATTGCATATCAGGAATGTCATGCATGTCAGGAATATTATGTACCGCTGCGGATTGAAAAGTAGTCCATAAATCCGGTCAACAGCGACTGCAAGCGGGATCCAGCTCATCGTTACTATCAAAGCCTATATATACTTATATATATGGTTACTATAATCTCGTAGTGAATAAGACTTCAGTAGTGATATAACATATAATTATTACCGGTACGTCTGCAACGCAACTGTGTTGCAACTCAACGCAGTGACTAGATTATTGGGCATCGGTACAAGCAGGGGCTGTGAGTTCAGCTGCACAGCATACCGATACATTCATAAAAACTGAAAATGGGTGAAGGAGAACCTTTTGTTGGATTGGCGGACTTCCTCCTTCGTCATGCAACTCCAGACGATGCATCCTATCTATCATGTAGAAAAATATTCATTGCTTATCGAACCTATATATCAAGGAAAAGACCTGATATTATTGGTACAGTATGTTTTTGTGATAAATTACAGAGTCAGGCTTCTTAACTCTGTAAGACAGTAACAGCTCAACTTGCTAACGAATGACAAAATTAATAAGTGGATTTTTACCTTAAGATTCAGTGAACTACTATGCCCATGCAGCCATACAGGCATATCTGCATATGCGGATTTTATTTGCTTCCTTCCATGTTTGTAAAAGTTAAATAATTCCTCTAAGTTAGTATAATAGACTGATATATGACTACAGGACTATGTAAAGTATGTCCAAAATAAATATCTGAACAGGGTAAAAATATATCAACATTGGGAATCAATACATTTTTGGCCAAGCTAAAATAATGACCAGCAACGTTATTATTTGTAAAAATTGGTTTTTATGACTTTTTTCAGTAAGCATGGATTTTGCGAGGTTTTGTTCGTACCTTGAACATTTGGCTCAACAATTTCAATACAAGAAAAGAGTGATTGGAAATCCACATTCAACACTTTATCGTATAAGATTTCGATCTCTAAAGAAATTACAAAAAATTGTAAGTAGAACCATCACAACACTTTGATTTTATCTGGAAACATATTTTTGAACCAATATCTTGATGATATTCTGCGCAAAATGGGCATGCTGACTTAACTCATTATATGATTTACCCCTCTTATAAATAGACTTTCTTTCCCAGTATGCAATCATATCTGGGATTCAAGATCTGTATGATATCAATTTTTTTGCTGTTGCTTGACTTTTTTGATAGGATTGTATCAATTATTTAAATGTGTTATGGTTTTACAGAAAAAGCATAACAACCGCCAACAACAAGTTTTGAAGGTCCCAGTTTGCGAAATCAATGAAAATATTTGTTGCAAGTTGTGCTGTGGTTATTTAGTCAATGCAACAACTATAAAAGAATGTTTACATGCATGTAAGTTGAGAATGTATTACTGTATTTAATTATAATTAATCATGAATATTTATCGATGAATATTTTTATCAAATTAGAAATGGGATAATGCCACTTAAAAATAAGAGAAAATTATTCCTCATTTAGATATATTACATGAACTCATTTTTCTTATCCATGATTCCTTCACCTAGTCATAAGTTTCAATCTGGTGTTCTGAGAGTTTCTTTCAAATTTCTTTCTATATTCATATATAGAGCTTCGTTATCACCAGCTTGATAGCTGGCTGCTTTAAATTGTTCGCTTTGACTCCAATCATTCATATACCTCAACTAGATAATTGGAAATGTTTTTTTTATCACAAACCTAAAATGTATTCAGTTTATGCTACTTTTGAAATGCCCGCTTCATTAAAATTCTAATTTAAATCCTTATAATTTCAGTCTGCAGGAGTTGTATTGTCCATCACTTTCAAACAAGTCAAAGATGTCCAGTATGCGATGTACTGCTTCATGAGACAGATCCACTTGCATATGTTAAGCATGATGTTTTACTACAAGATATTGTCTGCAAATTATTACCGGGACTTGACAGAAGTAGGATGTTTGTATTTTCATATTCTATTTTGCCATGCATTTGAAATTTTTTATTCAACTTGTTTGAGAACAGCATACAAGGTCACACTGAATCGCAAGAAAATTTATTTAGACATTTTTTTCATTTCTCCAGGCTGTGTGCTTGAAATATATTTATCCAATCATTATTTGATCGAGTGTTTAGGACAGGGATTATATATTTTTATGTATTTACTAGGTGAAAAAAATCGAGAAGATGAATTCTATGAAAAATACCATGCACATCAAAATAATGACTTCTTGGATCCACCTGAAAAACATACGGTGGTTCCAAAATCTGATATACAATTTAAACCAATTCAGTTTATATTGGAATGGGTTGGTCTTAAACATTGCAGTCTGATGGCAGAAGTAAGTATAGTCTTTTAAGTTTTAACTATCTTTTAAATTCTATTATCTGATTTTTTTTCCACTTAAAACTTTTCCTACTTATTATAACACACCTTAGAAGTACAATTTCAATCTGTCTGCGTCAATTTTTATTGTAGTAATTATAAATGCATAAGTTATGTTATCATTTTTCATTATTTCAGCAAATACCAGAAAAGTTTGTCAGAGTGTCATCACAAGCAACTATTGGACATATATCGCAATTTGTTCTCCAAAAGTTGAAGAATATTGACAGGTCTGCTTGATTATCTGTTATAAAATTATTCTCACAGCTGTCGTTATTCATTACTTATCGATTTTAATCGGTAAGTATGTTGATAGGTATTTGTCTGTTAGATGCACGCGATATCTCGCGAAAGCGAGATTGAATGATAATGTACAATTGTCGCAACCAGGGTTGACCGAATAGTTCCACTATTTTCAGACATGGAACAAGAGAAATTAATGAAAAAAAACTTGAAAATGAATTTGGCAATGCTGATTAGATGTGATACACTTTTTTGTGTTTATTTTTTGCCCTAGCATCAGATGTCAAATGCTCTGAAGTCAGAATACCAAATTTAAAAATGAAACTATTTTATTCCTAAATTCCGGTATTTTATGTGTAGAATATATCTACAGTAGTTTTAAATGTATATTCAATATGGACATCTGTTCTTAACTTGGAAATTGAACAATGTAATTTTAGTGATCTGAAACCAACTGTGCAATGTGATATCAAATGTGGTGGTGTTACCCTTCCATCTATTTTGACACTGGAACAGATTGAAAGGCATGGCTTATGTTTTGAAACCGAGGTGAGTCTTAAACGTAATCATGAGATCATAGTTGATTAGCTGGATTTTTTATACAAATCTACTTGATTGCACTAAATAATCGTCATTCAATGTTTTTAGAAAGATTGGTTGTTTCTGCAATATGATATCAAGCCACTTGAGGACTAGCTGAAAAGAAGTATCGTATCACTGTTTACTCTGCTAAATGGAGAATAGAAGGATTTCATCAATCATATGCTGTAATTTTGAAATGTTCATGACTGTTACAGCGCATTTTATTGCTACTTATATTGCCAATGATTTTTCAATACAATTTTGTAATTCCTATATTGTGTGGGGCTTTGTAGCAAGTCAGATTCTGGTCGAAGGCAAACATGTGATTTGAATCTGGAATGTTATTGCGAGATTGAAATATCTCAAACAAGTTCGGTATTGTTACTGGTACCCCACTAGAGATTGATTAGTGCAAGACTTAGTTTGAAAATGTTATGTTTGGAAGAAGTGTCAAATGCCAAAGAGTCTGGCGACAAATGTTTGCCTTAACTTCCAGCAAAGTCATTCAAGATTTTAAGGAATTGTAATGGGATTGCAAAAATTGAGGATTAGAGCGAAAACGCATTTACTATTAATTAGACAAGTAAAATTACAGCTTAGGATAGGATAGGATTTACATATTTATCCCGGGGGAGAGGAAAGCCGATAAGACGGCTTATTCATATGGCGAACCACGGCCTCTCGTCCGGTTACCATTTCAAGTCGGGTATGGGATTAGTTTTACTGTATTGTTTGTTTTCGGAAGCATGGACTTGGTGGTGGAGGAAGCCGTAACCGACCAGCGGTTACGTGAACCACCCAACGACGGCGAGGAGTCCAGCAATCCTCTCGCACATAACCATCCCTGCATGGGATTCGAACCTGCGAACCCACGCAGAGTAGTTAGAGGTGCGGTGGCGAGCGTATTCCTAACGCTTAGACCGTTGAGCCACACCGCTTATGTCAACCATGCCACTGTTACCACCATATTCTAGTGCAGGGGTTCTCAAACTTTTTGTGTTGCGGAGCCCTTGAAAAAGTTGACTATTATTCACGGGGCCCCAAAATAAATGTTAAAATTGTTACTTTCCGAATAATATTCCTGAGTAAGTCAAAAGTACTGTACTTATTTTAAATGCTTAACCTCTTTTAATAGGGTTAATACAAGTCATAAATGAATCTAAATGTAAAAGATGAATTATATATACTAAAGCTGTAAACTTGATACTTGACAAACATATTAATAAATTAGGGGTCGGATCTTTTACCTTTAGATATTTTTGAAAGACTTAAAAGGCCGCTAATAACGTACTCGATTGCATTTTGTTACGATTGCCGATTGTTTTCGTCAGCGTGGCGGTGTTTATTCTCCCTAAATCAAAAATTTTCCTCGACATATACATGTATGATGTATTGTTCCACAATGACGACGAATATTGCTTTTTTGTTCTCGTGGGGAATTATGAGTTCAATGTGAAAAACATGTTACCATATTATAGTCACCGGAGACGAAATGCTAAAAATAATAAATAATAAAAGGTAAATCCGCAACTCAAATTTCTTGATTGAAAAGCTGCATACTGAAATATTAAAACTAAAACTTAAAATGGGAGATAACACTATAAGTTTTGTTTCAGCAGACTCACGTCAGATTAAAAACACGTTCATAGACATTGTGAATCAAAAATTTGGTGTTATGTTGGGTTTTCTTTGGTTATTCGTCGTAGTAACTGCGAAACCGAAACACAGTCAATTGTGCGCGCGATGTACCTATTTTTCCATTCTGAAACTACCGACGGAGCCGCATGCAATGAAATAAATTTCAATCTTTCGTATTTTGCCCCGACCTCTTGTTTTTTAAACGGCGACATCTTGCTCGTGAGTGCGAAAGAACAAAATCAAGCTTGACAAATCCCAAGATCGCAAAAATACGACTGCAATTTATGTATAGTTGGCAGTTTTTCGCGTATTTTATGTTATTTCAGAATAGTAGTCTTTCATTTCAGTAATCCTAATAGTAAAATTAGCCAATTCAGTATTTTAAAAAGTAATCGAATAGCTCGCGGAGCCCCTGGGTTTCTCTCACGGAGCCCTGGGGCTCCGTACGGAGCACTTTGAGAACCTATGTTCTAGTGGACAAGTAGGCTTGTTCGTTAGTTGTTACCTTCCAATGCCTTCTCACAAAATTGCTGGGAATGTCAACAAAACACATTGACCAGTTAGCAATTACACTTTTGGTCGCCATTTTACTAACAAGATGCGAACTACTAATGTTCAGACATATTTTGCTTAAACCTTTCCAGGAATTAAGAGTAATTTATGTGGCGGAAACTTCGAAAATATTATCATGCAATCCATTTTGTATTTTTGATCCAGCACAATGTATTTTGATTGAAAACTAACACTGAACTTCATGTTATCATCATTAGAGTTGATAACAGGAAAAAATATGCCAAAATCTTATTTCGAATGTACATGGCGAGGCAGGTAATGGTCATAATTATTTGTGCCCTAATTATAGTGAATTCATTTCACCCAGCCCCCAACAAAATACAAAAAAAAGGGAAAAGTCTCGGGACGCTATTCTCACATCAAACTCCTCAACCAGATTCTACGCAACACCAATCCAAAGTCAGGCAAACCATCATAAAATCTCATTACAATCTGTTACTTTTGTGTATTTATAGCAAGAGAGATAAATATATAGTAATAAAATATGCTAAGCAGTTGCAGCTTGGCCTTGTTGTAAATGTAAAGTTTTACGGACAGAAAGAATAACATCCTTTGTTGCCGGCATAGTGTTGTCTTCCAGAATTTTGGCATACGGCATTGGTATATCAGCTCCAGTAACTCTGACAACTGGAGCATCGAGGTAATCAAATGCTGGTCCTGTGGATAAAAAATAATTCTTTTTGACTGGAAATGAGCTTTGTCCCTTTAATTTGGAGTGCTATCATTCAATATTAGTATATTTTCAATCATACACTGCTTCAACAAATGACAAAGTTATTGTGAATGACCCTCTCAAATATTATTAAACAAAAAAAGAACTCTTCAAACTGAAAGATATAGTGAAACTAGATCTTGAGGCGACATTATTGTCATACATTCGCTTATCCAGAGAGGAATTATGCACATACCGAAATTGAATAAAAAGGGCAAACCATTGTGAATCAGGATTGAAATATAATTGAAACATACCTTCCATTATTTGTGCAACAACTTCAGCACCAACCCCAAACATTGGCCATCCTGATTCCACGACTACAAGATGATTGGTTTTCATAACACTTCTTTCTATAGTTTCAATATCAAGAGGACGAATACTTCTTAAATTGATCACCTGGTATAAAGATAATTTAAATTGTTATAAACACTAAGTAACGCGATGTAAATGCCTTCATCATAAATATGTCTGTGGAACTGAAGTCATATTTTCAAACTACCACAGAGAAGGAATTTTCCAAAATAAAATGAGTAAGCGCTGAGTTAATGAAGCCTTCTTTACAGACAGAGAAGGCTTGCATACGCCAAAGTTCATTCAACCTGCTGTCAAGAATCATCTTTAAAATGGCTCTGACTTTGGAGTCAGATGTAAATTCCCCTCAATGTCCTGATTAGAATTAAACTTTTTTGCCAGCTGTTGATATCTTTTCACTAATTCACTTTACAGACTCGTAAGTGTTATCAGAGAATTGCTCGAAACTCAGAAATGAAATATGACAATAGCGTCAGACAACATGGTAACCCAGGTGGAATCAATCATCACCAACCACATATTTCTAAAATTTTTATAAAAAATATTCAAATTAACTCACTTCACATTCAATACCCTCTGCAGCGAGTTGTTCAGCTGATTCGAGGCATAATCCTACAGGTTTTGAGTGAGAGACAAGTGTAACATGTTTGCCTTCACGTTCAATATTGGCTTTACCGATTGGCAAAGTAAAATCTTCTGACATTGCAGCATCCGAAACGGGAAATGAGACACCATACATTAATTCATTCTCCAGGAAAACAACTGTAATATTAATAAATGACTTTAAATTGTGGTAAATCAAACTGAGTTGAAGACTGCTATGATCACTAGGAGCTTCTAAAGCATTTCCAGTATATGACTGATGCATTGTATTGGGTATCATGATTCAGGAACACAGTTAGCTTCCTCCTTTTCAATGCATTCATTAGGAATGACCATGGTGAATGAAGCTTTGGTTGGCCTTGTCATATTTCCCATTCTCGGCAATATATAGGAAAACCCTAATACCCTCATATCAAAACATGTAATACCTTGAAAACATCTATATATTGGACTGTAATTACCAACCTGGATTAGGATCTCGGATAGCGGCCTTTAATAAACCTCTGCAATCTTCAGAATTGAATGGAGATAAAACCTTCAAACCAGGACAATGGCCATACCAAGCTGCAAAACACTGTGAATGCTGCGCTCCAACGCCTAAAAAAATTGAAGAATAAGTCATATTAACACAAAGGTATGCATACATTAATCACTTTTTTGTTAATAGGTGACTTACCAGCAGCAGAACCGTTTGGTCCTCTGAATACAATAGGGACGGGCACGGCCCCAGCTGACATATATAATGTTTTAGCAGCAGAATTAATAACATGATCAATTGCTTGCATTGAAAAGTTGAAAGTCATGAATTCACAGATTGGCTTCAAACCGGCCTAAACAAAAAATAAAAAGAAACACAACAGTTTGTGAAATAAACAAAATTTGAGTAGCTGTGGTAACATGCCTGCAATATTATTATTTATTTTGGGTAGATTTGATCTGTTCAGTAATTAGACTCATGACAAACTCCAAATTTCATGCAAGGACCTATGGGACCCATATATTAGTGCAGAGTTTATATTAAAAGAAGGAAAACCAAGAATTTATTGAAAAAAAATTCGCATGGTCATTTTATTCTAGTCCAGATACGTTCATCAATACACGCACACGACTGATATGAAAAGGAGATGCATGTTTACTAAAACTAGATTTATTAGTACTATGATTTATGAATTAAAGTTACTCCAATAACAACAGTCTATCTAATCATAAAAATATTCCATATACCATTGCCGCTCCCACAGCAATTCCTGCAAATCCCATTTCTGTTATTGGAGTATCAATCACACGTTTATCACCATGTTCTCTCCATAATCCCCTGCTGACCTTGAATTAAAATCACAAATTAATTTACAAAACACAAAAATAATTTACTTAAGCTTAATGAAATTAAGAATAACCTTATAAGCCCCATCATATTGAGCAACTTCTTCTCCAAGCAAGAAAACTTTGTCGTCTCGTTTCATTTCTTCATTCATTGCCGAATTCAATGCATCTCTCACATACATCTAAAAGACCACAATCAATAATCAATGTTAGTTTCACAGATTTTACTGCTAAAATGCCTTTGAAGAACATTTCAGGCCGAGACAGAATACAAACAACATACAACATCATATGAGCTGAAATTTTCTATAAATGTATATATTCACATTCTCATTTTTAAACAAAAAAGCCATAACTGATGAGCCTGATGAGATTTTCAAAATTTTTCTCGACGCCTTTCTTATGATTTTCGCTCTGAACAAGGAACTGAAATGTTTCAAGTTGAGCATTCCCAACAGAATTTATTACTCTCTGGGTGGGGTGTTGAACATGGATTTCGTACCCAAGATGTGGAATCTGAAATGCCAACACAGGTATGTCTAATGCTTTCACCACCAGGCCATCGCCCCCAGAACTGCAAATCATAGTTGCACATTGAAGTAACCACACACACACATATGATATATTTATGTATTATGAAGTGTAATTCAAAAAATATATACCAGTAATATAGGCCATACAAACCTCTCCTGGATTACGTGAAGATGTAGACATCATTAATCTCCCACATACTTTTGCATTCAACAATTTGCTGTGCTAAAAAAAGATGATATTGAATAACTAAAACTTTCAATATTATAGAAATAAACAATGTCACATCAGTTATTATTAAAAAGTATTTAACAGTTTTCGAGTCCTGAAATATAATAACAAAAAACAAATTTTCACATTCATACCTAAAAACCCATCAGAAATGTTTTGATAACATTCATACAATATTACGTTTGTATTAAGACAATACAGTATAAAATAGCAATTTTGTTCGTCCACACAAAATGGAATAAATCATCAACACACAATGTCATGTAATGTATGGTAACTCACCTTGAAAAGTGTTCTGAAAGCCATTGTGAATCGTGTTGTATAATCAATCAATGTTATAGGACTGTCAACCAAACTTAATTATAAAACTCATGACTTCATGTATAAAAGAAAAAGATATTGGAAGTAAAGTAGCACATAGTATACTCATAAAGAAACTTTCTTAAGTAATAATTATATCTTGAATGAATTTAATATCAGCCATAGTGCTCGAACTGTAAAGTGTTTATATAATATGAAATAAAAGTTATGTTAGGTTTTAAGCATTCAGATTTTTCTTTCAAAGCCTTTGAATCGACAAATTCACAATGTATAAAAATTTCACATAAATGAAACTTAAAAGTATAGCATTATTTGAAAACACAATTTCAGTTCAAGCCTAGGACAAATTTGTCGGCAATATCAGCAAAGATATTTTTGTCAGGTTTTATGATATTAAAGTTTTGGATCAATGGCTAAATATGGTATGTTCAAAATTTAGACAAAATATATAACGTAATTCCTTAGTCACACTATGATTTCCCAAGTCAATGTAGGGGAAATTGTTGTATGCTCCCTCAATGATGCATACTTATTTAAATTCGAAATGAGAAAAACACTTTTCTCCACACAGAAAAGTAAAACAACAGAAAGGATCATAATTCTTAGAAAAATACATTATCAATTATACCTATGATAAGCAAATTCTATTTCAAGTAAATTATATAATAAATTCAAGCTTCTTGATTAACTACCACAAGAAGTTTATAATGAAAAGCAAAACAAAAATGATGTAACACAGACACACAACATGTTGGCTGCACATAATCCAAGAATTTCAAAACTGTATGTAATATTTAACGTTATTAAATAGGCCTAGTTATTTAAGTAGCAAACTGTTATTTGAAACATTTAAACAAATTCATACCTCTTAAACAAGATTTTGATAGAATTATTTTCAAAGATTATGTTTAAGTAAAATTATTACATATGTTTTATATATGTATGATTTAGTTTAATTCTGTATCAAGTTTTTCAAGCATATCTGAATCTAAAAAAAATTAGGGAAAAAGGTTATACTTCTTGGTATAACAATTGATACAAGACTATTACACTAGTGCTTATAAATTTATCTACAATGTGAGCAAAAACATATACGAGTACTGGTATATGTCATACTTACAGAGTCATACAATTTACTGCTTAACAAAACTCAAGATTGAGCAAGCATGGCTAATGTCATTTTCCTACTAGCAAAATATACATATAGATATAAAAATCAATAATATTCTTTATCTGACTTAAATGAATAAATTTTGATGTTTTGTTGCCATTTAATCAGGGTAGAATGTTTACAGCTTCTAACACCAGGGAATGAAGAAAAACAAAACTGTCAACAATATGCCATAATTGAGAAAGTCGCTGCAGAAGGGTGTGCAACATATTTTGTCGGCGGGTCATGTGAACAACTTCAGACATCTACCTGGGCCACATAGAAAGAACATAAACTGTCGGATTGGGATTTCATGCTAAATGGGGAAAATCTGAGTGCTGACAAGGGCCACAATAAATTTATTGACAGGAGGGTTGTGGCCCGCGAGCTGCACACCCCTGATATACAATATCAATCTATCTTCATTGAACTATTTGAAAATTAGATCAATTTTAAACATAAATATAAGGAAGTTTTGAGGCACTCTTGAGTAAGCTCTCATTTGCATAGATATGCAGGGCATACAACGCGTTAAAGCCACAGAATATATAGTAGTCACAGTCTCTGACATGAAATTTGTTTAGTTAAGATGAAATATTACCAAATGATTATTAATATTGAATCAAGTATTTCAATGCTACATAAGTCATTTGTGACAAAAAGTAACTTTGTTGAAGCTTTTAGGAGTCTGAGGCATTTTGAAAATTTCATTCATTTCTTGGTTTGTCATAATTGAATGTTTTAAACTTTTGTTCTCAAGAATAATATCAACAAAACAGAGTTTTGTCAGAAATATTAAACATTTGGTAATGCCATAATAATATAACAACACTGCAAATTATATGAATTTTTATGTTCAAGATATTCAATAAAATTTTTTTTAAATTATAGCTTCATTAAGATCAATTTCAATCTTTCTTTTTTGTGTTTTCATCCGTATCATTTGGCATAGCCCTGGGTGGAGATAATCGCAAGACACATCGTCTTGGAAACCATCCTCTGACACGTTTTCCTTCATTAGATTCTGTTTCAGACAAAACTTTGTTCCCATACAGCCAATAATGTGACCCTCTCGTCACTTCAATTTTATCTCCAACTTCCAGACGAATACGCGGTTCATCAGATATAGGTATACGAATGCATGTGCATAGACCTTTTGTGCAAGGACACCACCACCCAGAGTATGATTCTTTCACCAAAAACAAAACAGTTCTCTTACGTTTTTCTCTCTTTTGTTCCAATTGCTCAATTGATAGTGTAAGGTTTGTGCAACCTTCAACAACAGGCCATGAATACCCACTCCCTTCAGGCCTACAATTCCAGTTTATAATTTGACTCAAGTTCTTTTTATATCCCAAATCATAAGGGTATGTGAAAGGGGGTGCACCTTGGCCTGTTCGTTCTTCAGCCTTATCAATAATCCATTGTTCAATGCCTGTTTTGTTTGTTATTATAATTTTAAGCTGTTGTGCAAATAATACACCAACGGCAACAATTGTACCAAAAGCAAGACCACAAGCGATAATGTTTAAAAAAAATGCATTTACACCAAAGTGAACAGGTGCAACTGCATATTGATACATTTCTGCCCTCCATAGTAATTGATAAAGTAATGTAAAAATGCATACTATTAATGCATGGATACACCCAACAGGTGCAAAAAAGAGAAACAATACAAAATTTGTATGATTCTGATGACCGCAGCATGTATTAATCCATGGACAATGATGATCCATTTTCATAACACATCGTTTGCATGCACGGCAGTGATGCGCTCTTGGTGGTTTATATCCCTTGCATATAAAACAGTATTGTAGGTACTTTTCATCATCTTTATCATCCGGTGTCCATTCGAGAGGAACAAACCCGGGACCAAGCAAAACAGCGAAGAAAAAGTTCCGCAAGATCAACGCTAGCCATATTGTGAGAATTATCAGATTCCAAATCCCAAATTTGCTTGTGTGAAGTGGAAACAACCACAGATAACTATCGATGACAGCAACACAGTAACATACAAAGGTTACAAACAAAGCTATAAACGGTCCAATATGAACTAATCGCCAGAGACTCATGATTCTAAATATATACTATAATGAAGAGTACAGTTCAATTTGTACAGTTGTTACAGATAAAAAAGGCGCATGTTCACTAAAGGTACAGACTTCTAGATGGCATGGCACAAATATTTTTGCATATGTTATTCCTAAACACCACCTGGCCACGCCATCTCAAAATTACGTCACTACGATCATGTCATAGAGTTTGCCACAGAAGAGATACGATAAGCCGAAACGGTATCTCCGCCGACAATAAAGATCTCGCTAAAGCTAGCGATCTCTCTCATATCGGGATCGTTACGACGAAGGAACGAGAGAAATAGTTTGCTTGATTTTGGGTGATCATCTGCACGTTTTGAACGACAATCCGTATACTTTGACGAGCCCTTTTTCGTCTCTGTAACTCAGTCAGGGGGTTACAAATGACATATGCGAAAATGGTTGCGCCACGTCAACTAGAAGTACTTGACAGGGTTTACTAGCCATCAAAAAAATACTGAAAATTTTAAGCGAGTACTGTAATATTTTTATTATCTACAAACAGATATCAAGAGAGAGGTAAGTTCTGAAGACCTCAAGCAGTTCTTGGAATAGCATTTTCACATTAATCCCATGAAAGAGTACAAGAGTTGGTCGATAAGATGACATAATCATATGACTTTTCCCCCAATGGCTTTACCAACCACAAGCAGACACGACGGTTTGATTTATGAGTTTGTTTTACATTGATTTTTGGGTTTGTATAAATTCTGAAATTAATAATATACTGATATATGATTCTGCAAATATTTATACACTTATTTCTGTTTGTACCGATATTTGTCCACCACGTTAGTAGAGATATGCGATAACAGTGAACTGGCAGACGCGCTCTCGTGCCAAGCGTTAGGAATACGCTCGCCACTGCATCTCTAATTAGCCTGCGGGGGTTCGCAGGTTCGAATCCCATGCGAGATGGTTATATGTGTGAGAGGATTGCTGGACTCCGCGCTGCCGTAGGGGGGTTCATGTAACCGCTGGTCGGTTATGGCTTCCTCCACCATCAAGTCCATGCTTCCGAAAAACAAATAATCGGAAGAGAGGCTGTGGTTCGCCATATGGTTAAGCCGTGTTATCGGCTTTCCTTTCCCCGGGATAAATATGTAAATCCTATCCTAAATTATCCATGTGACTCACAGGCTTGGGTAAAACCTTCACTCTGTCCTATGAATCCAATACCGGTAGGCTACCATGTCTACCTGTTATCTGCATATGCGTCGGCAACGATTCGACAAGGCAGATGAAACAGCGAAAAATAACTAGGTACCGTACGTATAGCCGTACCAGTAGCTCTCTGGCAATCAATTGACACTACTTTGCTGAGATAAGATCACTTCGACTTACAGACTTAGGTAACGCCGATACCGGTACGATATTTCGATTATGAGCTTTCGACCAGCCATGCTTCCTCTTTTTTGACCTCGGTAGCACACCCCACACCTTTCTTGACTAATTTCAATGACACCTTTCAATCCCAATCGGGTTTGGCAGTCATCGGGTGCAGTCGCATTATTCGGCGATGCAGAAAATGATAAAGATGAACCAGCACTGAAGGAATATCAACATTATAAGAAACTGGCCCAACTCGTCATCCCACAAACACAAAATACGGGGTGTCGAACCGACATTGTACGACGGCAATTCGTGTATGTTTGTCTTAAATTAAATCAAAGCATTGCATTTCAGTAACTCGTCAGTGAGGCACAAGTGGCTTTTTCCCGTGCAACTATCTATCTCCATTCAATAAACCAAGCTCTTAAGTTTGCCAGATTCTGGTTTTCCTTGCGTCCCTACGTGTTTACTATGTAATATGTATGCAGGAGGGACTAATGGATTTCAATGATTTTAAGTTAGATACACACATGTTAGTCGTTGGATGCACATGTGAATGTGAAGTTGTGAACCATATTTTATTATAAGAATTCGAATTTTTGTCGCCCAATTGAAAAGATATAGGCTACCCTGTTTTCCAGAAAATAAGACTGGATATTATTTCACTTTGCTTCCGAAAATTAACACTAGGGCCTATTTTCGGGGGATGTCTTATATTTTCATTTATTAAAAACAAAATTACAAATTGAAGAATTACGAGTTTTTTTAATATACAAATATGAAAACCGATAACCATTTACCTATAAATAACCCGTTTATATTCAAATAACCTTAAAACATAGATTATCAATCATTTAAAACGTTTAGGAGAGATTTCTTGTTATAGACTAGGTCAAAATAAAAATTCGCGTCATTGACTAGGTTATTTTAAAGTGAAGGGCTTATATTAAAATAAAAGATGCAGTTACATTTTATCCATTCTCGGTTTCAAAAGTTCTCTTCCAAAAGTACTTCCACGGATTTATTCCGAATAATGATCACTGTAATGCATGGTCAGTCAGTTTTCTATTTCCACGTTGATTTAATACGACATTGACAGTTTAGGCAATATTACCGGAAAATTCCACCCGTACCTTTTGTGTGACGCTGCTACGCCACTTGTATTGCTGATTAAAGTGAAAGAAGAATGGAAAGGGCGTAGTAAAACCAATCCGAACGACTAAGCTTTCGTCGCAGCTCAGTTGATTGCTATGAAAAAGACACTAACAAGTCCATCGCTAAACAATGATTACCATAAATCATAAAAACAATAAGACTTCACAAACCGAATGGCATTTTTTCAAAACAGCTCATCGCGAAGCACCAAATTAAACACAACATGCAACTCAAGAAATGCTTCTGACTGGAAAGCCTGTCATCGGTCGTTACATTGATACTATATCTAGAAGCGAAAAAATCATTAGAATTTCAAACAAGTTGGGAAACAATTCCAAAAATCTGACAGGGGAGAAGGAGATGCCACTGCTTTCTTTCTGTGAATTTCGCACTTGCACTCTGATAGAAGAATAGAATATTTTCTACATGATTTATTTAAAGTTTAAGACACAAATCGTTGTAATTGAGATATATCATGGTAAATAAATGAGCATATAAAGCAATAGATGACGCCATGATATTGTCCAAGAAAGCAAGTGAGATGTTAGATTAGAGTGTTGAGGTTCATTTAAATTCTTCCAAAACTGAACAAGAGCTCCACGATAAGATATATTGATTGAAACAAATTAATAAATAAAAAAGTCTGGTTTAAACATGTTTTAAAAATCAGCAACGAATCCTAGTTGCACATTTGGCTTTGATTATTAGTAATTTCCATTTTCTGAATAATTGGGAATCAAATCTATAATAAAATACTTTTTTTGTCTTTTAAAGAATTTTATATTTCCTTTTGATAAGCGGAGCAAAAAGTGAGTACAATGGTGATCAGAAATTTGTCAAGTGACAAATAAATCACATCAGCATAAACGATTGCTTTTTTTTTAGGCAGTTTAAAGTAAAAATTAACTGTGAAAACAATTGTTCAAAACAAAAGTGATGAAGCCTCAAAAAACATGAATTATGGAACAATATATGCATATAATCCAACATTGACACAATCCGAAAGATATATTGTACCGGGTACAAGGTCTGAGTACAAGTTTGATTATTCAATTAAAGGAATATTTTCTTGAATATTTTCTCACACAAAATATTTTTTTTATTGTGACGCCAACAACTGGATATTCGTTATTAAAATATGAATTGCTTAGTGCATTTGTTTGTCAGTATCATAAGTCTTGAGAGTTTGAGATGACCATAGCGTATAGAAGCAGATAAGGACCCTCGGATTACCCTAAAATACAAAAAGTACGTCTACTACTCTACAAAAGGAGTGCTAAAAAGTGCGACTAAAAAATCGCTAGAACCCAAGAATTAGCAAATTGTGAAAGTAGCTAGAAACCATTGTGAGCATGCTTGTTGCATTGCTGACGGCTAAACTGTACATTTCATAAGATATTGCTGTTTGGAAGACTTAACCAGAGAACATAGACCAGAAAACATTTCAAACAGTAAAAAATGATAGTTTACTAACCTAGTATTGAGTAAGATTATGCTAAATTTATAACCTATTTAAAAAAAAAAAGCATTGCAAAGCGGCTTGTTTGAAAAATTGCATCGCAAAAATTGCACCAAGCTCAGTTGAAAATAACATGAAGTGAAGTCAATTCCATCTATCATTTGAACATCAACAACTCCTAGTGTAAGTGACATAGTCATCGTACGAGTGGGACACGCTAACATGATTTCTACCTCTGAATAATGACAAAATATCAAACAGAAAACAAAAAGTGCTCATGTGAAAAGGCGACATAAGATTTTGAGCTTTATACAGCTCATCGTAAAAAATACATTTTTTAATACAAATGTACTGTATATAATAAGTAATTTAAACCAAGACTGTAGGACTGGGACATTTGTTACATTCTGTCATACGCTACACCTCAAAAAATTTGTTTATATTACGACAGGTACACGACTGAAAAAGTTTCAAATACAATTCCTATATTGTTTGAAGAGAAATGGTAGAGAACTGTTAGTGATAAGGCAAATTCCTACATTTTTAATTCAAAAACAGCCCATTCATTGATAAGTTATCATTTGCAGTAGAAAATCTTTGAAAACTAAATTATTGTTGATTGATTGATACCCACGACATGGCATATGAAGTACAAAGCGCATTAATAAACTTTTTAATGTCACACAACCATTAAAAAAACTTTTTGGGGTGCCCCTGAAAACAAGAAAGAGAATCCAATGATCTCAGATGATTACTTCTAGACGGTCCATCTCTTAATAAGGCAGTCATCACCAGCTGAAAGAAGTGTACGATTGTCTAGCCATGTTACACTTTTGATAAAACCACTGTCATGGGGACCTGGAATTAAACAAAATGTAGTTCGTAAATTAAGAACAAACGAAATCAATATTGAATAGACAATGGTTTAAACACATCTCATCAAACTAACCAAAAAAAAACTCTTTAAAAGATACTTCAAAAGTCAAAATTTGGTTATATGCCTGGAATCAAAATAGGATCTTAGGAATGAGCCCATGTGAAAAGTTGAACACTGCCTTCGCGACTCAAACTATCATGTATATTATTTGATTTGAAGCGCACAGACTTTCTTGTAGAGCACGTATTTGTAGCATACGACTGGTAGAGCACAGCACCAATTGTCAAAAACAGAATAGGAAAATAATAAAATATTCTTCAATTAACTCACGGTGTTCTAGACTGTTCTTCTCAGTAGCAACATTCCACACAACTAACAATGGATCAATGCTAAAACTTGCGAGGAGTTGGCTGTCTGGTGACCAAGTTAGTATTGAAACCTTCATGCCGTGGGCATGAAACACTTTTATTTTCTGAAAAAAGAATTTAGTGGCTTAAAGCGGTTAAACTATTATTTTACACACATATGATACAGAAAAAAGTGAAAAAGGAGTAAAAAGATATGGATACATATGGCCAGTGTTATAAAGAAAATTTACATATGTTCGAAGAAAAAAAATATGCTGATCTTCAACAAACTCGAAACTAAAGGAAGTGTTACCATAGTAACGATTACAAAGGTAATAGTGAAAAATTAAAAAAAAAGTTTTTCAATAAAATTATGTGAAAGCACTAGGAGGGATATACTAATATTCTAACACTGACACAATTAATTGTTTAACTATTCCCATACCAGACCTATGCTATACTGATAACCAGACAGGAGACTGGGTTCCTCTTATATTTAAGATGCCTGCTTTATAAGCTTTCCTATCCAAATCAACATTTACAAATAATACCCACTTTATATCCATCTGAAACCAAGTAAATATCAATAGACTTATTTTCCGTTGCAACTGCCAGCATAGATCCATCAGGACTGTATGACAAACAAGAAACACCAGATAATGCATTCAAAACTGTGTCTGTTTTCACCAACTTGTCACCATCAATGTGAAAGATGTTTACTTTATCCCCCTTTAAAAAGATTGTAAATTTAAAATATGCTCGTGTACATAGTATATTCCCTGTATCTAAAATGAACATATTCTGCTTCCAAGATAAAGAAAGAATATTTGAAAACTTTCGATATATCATAATCTAACCAAACAAGATATAATTTAATCAAATGATAGATTCAGAAATAGAAAGTTAACAAGACTTTCAGCTTAATACACAGAAACCAAGTACCCATGTGTCTTGTGTGGGTACTATTAACTTTGCGCAGAGGTGAGTCTTTTTTAACTTCTGAGTGAGTGTCTGTGACTTTGCTTGGAAATAAATCGTCTTTATCTCTGAGTGACTGTAACTTTGACTAAAAAAACTGAGCACCGATTTGAAACTTCCTTGTATATAGATTTGGAATGCTTGGTTTATAAATGGTGGCAGATGCTGTGATGAAATGTTAAATACCTTGGCCTCTAGGGCAACATCGTTTCCTGAACTGGCAGCCAACAGAGAAGGCTGGAAGTTGTCGTAATCTTCCTGGTGCGGCTCATCATATACAATTTTCTTGTTCCTCATAAGAATGACCTGGAAAATGATAATTTAAGCAAATGTTTTCCAATGAACAAATGAAATGTTAAGGGTGGATAATATTTTGTCATAATATGTCGAGAGGTAAAGAGAGCTGACCAATTGTTTGATTATATGTACTGTACCCTCTTGATAGCGCCTTTCACAACAGTTCGATGTGATTTTCTCCACCATTCAAGTCTATGTATCAACAATTGAATGCTTGATATCAACTTATTTAACTGGCTTTCCTCTCACAAGCTACATATCAGTTTATCGGGCCACAGGGATTCAAATTCTGCACTAAAAGCGCTTTTTTAATATTATCTTATTCTAAGCTGTTCGGAATAACCTTTCCAATTTATCACCTTCTGGGTGAGATGGGGGCATGATATTTGAACTCAAGGTGTGTAATCTGCGATGACAACACAGCTAAGTCTAACGCTTCAAGCCAGGGGTGTGCAACCTTTAATACAGGAGGGCTAGATACAAATAACTGGATGAAACCACGGGCTGCTCCTTTATTTAATAACATTGGTTTTCTTGTAATCGCAGGTGTATAATGGATTGTAATTAATTGCACACACCAGATGGAACTAAATCAAAATCGGCACTTCACTGCGAGTCGCACAAATTTTCCTTGTGGGTCGCATGAAGCCCGTAGGTCGTACACCACTGCTTTAAGCTATAGGTATTACAGACAGCCTTAGCCGTGTAGGTTTTAGTTCACGACTAAGAAAAATTCATATGAACCAGTGATCAATAGTATAAAGCAACTTACAGATTTATGGCAGAGAATCACTATACTATCTTTTGCCAGCGACAATATAAGTGGTTGCGAAGTAAGTCCAACAGTAGTGGAAGATGTTGAAGAGTCGCACGATACTGACAAGAAAGATAATTTATCGTCCCATCCTGCTGAAATGGTTTCATTATTTGCATCATCGTAGAGAATCGCAATCACCTACATTAAAAATGAGTAAAATGTGTCATCTGGGTTTTTACCATTTGTATAAGTAGTTTTCTTAATTATTTGACGCTTATCTAAGCCTATCACTCAGACCTAGGCTCTACACTAGTAGCCACTGATTTATTGAAATAATAGGAATCTTTTCGATATGACAATTTTCACCCAATATATAACACCTTGGGTAAGGTGGGGTCTTAGGATTCAAACGCGAAATGGGCAATCTGCTATGTCAACGTAGCTAAGTCTTACAGTTCGACTGCCAGGCCACTGCACCGCCCCACCCACTTTATAGATATAATTTGAGTTAGCTAACTAGAATGTCACAAGTAGAAAATCTTTTGTTGGATCATATTAGAGACTACTTTGACCAAGTCAAATATGGGCAATATTCCTAACGAACTCCTGGCCATTTAATAAACGACCAAGAGTTGACAATAATATTGACTCCGGCTCTAGCTCCAGACTGAACAAATTTCGACTCCGACTACAGCTCCAGGAACTGATTTTATAAATGGTGACTCGAGTCCCTTTGAGTCAATGACTCGATCTTCCCAACACTGCTGCTCAGAAATCAAAATTATTTCCCGTAGCTTTCCATCACCCATAAGACTGTGCGTCCATTTTATTTTACAGTTTTGTTGCAATTTTCTATTGTCTAGAAAAATTAAACTTGACTATGACTAAATCACGGTTCGTTACAATCACACCCACCTTACTCTCCCCATGTCCAGGCAGATATTCAGCAACTCCACTTTCAACATCCCACCTCAAAACTTTTCCGTTGTTATCACCTGAAATTTTTTGAAAGAAATATTTCTAGATATTAACATTTGAGAAAATTTTGCATATTTTTGACAAACAGAGGAGAACCAGTTAGACCGCCGAAAGATATGGATAACAGCAACCTCTTATTATAGGGTTATCATACCAAGTTGATTATAGGAATTAGATATCCAGCCAATCCCACATATTCATGAACAATGAAGCAAGCCATTGAAAGCAAACTGGTTCACAAATATTCGAACCCGCAAAAAACCTCCTGCAAAGTAAACAATGCCGCAAAGGTGAATGTACTCCCAATTCTTAGGCAAAGTGCTCCAAAGGACATTGTATGCTTCCTTAAATTGAATATAGCAGTGCCCAATACGTAGCTTCAAATTATGATTCAATTGGATTTCTTCAAAATATTTAGTACAAAACTGTATTGGTTTATCAATTGTATTTACATAGTATTTGGAACTGTTTCTTCTTCCTTTCTATTATACTGCACAGCACCAGGACAACTTCAGTAAATGAAGGAAAAATAGTAGTATCATAGATTTATTACTTACCACTAACAAAACGCATTTTGTCACCAGGTATTGCTTGAATCGATGCTAGAGGTTTAGAGTGGCCAATGAGGATTTGAGATGGCTTATCAGGATTATTTCGATCCAAATAATTGATAACACCTGCAAAACAAAAAGTGCAATATGGCCGAATCTGAACACTTATTAGCCTATACCAATAAAAAATTCTTTACTACAATGGGCTATTATAATTTTTTTTCATTTGAATGTCCGCCAACCAGTTTGGATACCTGGTTTCAATATAGGTTTTCACACAGAATTAGTGGGCATGTTATTAATAAGAACCTATTGAATATTAAAGAACCAGAATGTTTCGTTGTCTGAAAATGTAACCAGATTTACTGAATCTTATTCAAGTTGGCCTTCATTGAGTCTATACCTGATATCAAATAGTCTCACCTATTTGTTATATTAGAAATCCTATGTAGGAAAATTACCCTATCAGGTACTGTATAAGTTAGATAAGATAAGATTAAATGATAAATAATTAGATTTTAAAATCTATAAAACAGCAAAACACTTCCACTCTTGTTTACTATTAATTTCTATATTCTCTTGTGCCCTACCTGACAAGGAAACTGTCAAGATATGTTCTCCCATCCACAAACAAGACAACTGCATGTCGGTAACTTCTTTTCCAAAACTAAATTTCCTGCAAAAGAAAAATAACGTTAGTATCATGCGCGAACTGTAATAATACAAGTTCTTCTCATAGTATAATCAGATATTTTTAAATTTCTGACAAACACCTAAATAATCATTTGAGTTAACTAAGCATTCAACAGAATGGACAAAGATGAAAAAACATTCACACAATTTAGTGAAATAAGAATAAATTTTGTAAACAGAAATAAATGAGAATAATTTTCAGCAGGGATTTTCGGGGGTCGAAGAAGGGCGCAAGAAGTTAATAACAACATCATCTCTCTAACAAGTCATTAAGAACAATTATTAAAATTTATTTCTAGACAATTTGATCAAAGCTAGGTTCCATGCACTCCAATCTTACATAAACAAGATATATTATAAAATTTGTTCAATGGCTTTAAGGTATTAAATTTCGCCACCAACAAACAGTAAGTGCAATCATTGTCAACAGCAAAAACCGACTTCGCATTCACAACATATTTGCAAATTGATGTATACTGACATGGTAGATTGAAGATTGTAAGCGAGAATCTCAGAAAGTCAACCAAAACAAGTAACCCTTTTAGTACAATTTTAAATGAAGGCTATACGTTGATGGCATTGTGGGCTTTTGTGGCTTCACATATAATTCCAATAACAAAAAAGCAAGCATACACAACTTCTTCTTTTGTTTCAACATTCCATATTTTTGCAGTCTTATCACCAGAAACAGTCAAAAGCTCCTTGCTATCTGGACTCCATGACATACCATAAATTCCTCCAGTGTGACTCCCAGTCGTGCTTCCAAAATGTCCAATCTGAATAATAAGAAGTTTTTCAATTTCCTCAAACAAAACAAATAGAAACAAGTGGCCTTTGACATGGCTGGTGCTACAGAAGAGTAAAGTGGACATATGAATTTCCAATGCCATAAACCTTCAATAAGAATAAAGTTCCTTTTACAATCTCTGAAATGAGATGTATTTTGAGCTTTGGACAATTCATGGCCAATAAAATTTACCAGTACAGATCCAAATTGTGAGTGGGCAACTAGCTAATTGTTTCGGATGCATGGTCTTGAATGGTGCAAAAAGCCATAACTGACCACCTCATAATGCTGAGAAGTCGGCATATATTTATTCCTTATAGCATTGGTCAGCAAACAGCCTAGTGATGGACCAGGAAACGTTCATTGCTAAGTCGAAACTTTCCAGGTTAAATGCTTTGAAACTCTTTTAGACATAATTAAGCTACATTTGGCTCGGAGGTTGATGCAAGCCATTGTACCCTTTTAATTACCCGGCACAGGTTCCTAGGCTCAAATTCTGTGAATGATAATCATGTGCAAGAGGATTGTCGGACTCCTCGCCATCATAGGGTGGTTTGCGCAATACTGATCTGTTGTGGCTTTCTGCACCATGAAGTCCAAACATCAGAAACAAACAATCGACTAACCATTCCCATACCCAACATGGATTGGTAACTGCACAAGAGGCTACGGTCCACCATAATGATTAAGCTGTCTTATCGGCTTTCCTTTTCCTCTGGAAAAATATAAAAATCCTATCATAAAGTCCTGAGTTTTTGAGGGAAGGTCTGTATAGAATTTCTTTTGTAAAACTGCAGAGGAAACCCTGTAGTATTAGATGATATAAGAAGCAAGGTAATCAGCAGTGTTATGACAAGCAAAACTATAATGTTCATATAAAAATTGAAAGATCAGATTATCTGGTTGCATTCTTATATTTATCACTATAATGAATACAAACCTGCTCTCCAGTCTTTCCATCATACAAGTAAGCATGCTTATCTGAGGAACCAGTTGCAAAATACTGACCATTAGGCGAAAAGCGTACACAGTTCACAAATCCTGAATGGTCCTGCAAATTGAACATATTATACAAGAATTAGAGATGGCCAATATCGAATACGGTAATTCACTATTTGAATAACCGGGAAGTTTATCATAGATTTTTATGTCGGCAGATTGCAGTGTCATTCTTGAGCAGCAATGATTTTATTTTTGCGTAAGTTGACGAAGACGCATGATATGTTGAGCAGTATTAAATTAAGGCATTTCAAATGCTGGTATCGGTCATGGATTGAATATTTTGTGCAAAAGAAAATCATCCTCTGAAAACGTCCATTATTTCAGCTATTAATAGACTGAATTATTCGCCAAAAAGTGGGAAAAAGTATAAATTATTTTTTTCCTAATCTTTCGAATAAATCAACTTATTTTTTCTGACTCATTTCATTTGGTATTTTTATTTTATTTATCCTAACAAAGCGTGTGAACACAACTTATGTCATACTGTAACAATAAGCACCGCACACTCGCACAGAATTGGAAAAACAATCAAAGTGCCGATTCTATCTCCTCGTCATTACTCATCACTACATACATGAAAATTGCTTAAAGATTTTTCAAACAGCTCAATATTTTAAAATTCATTTAAACTAAAGGTAATGGTTTGTCCCCATCTAATAGATAAGACTCAGAATCCTGGACTTTTAAATGTATGTACAAATTTTGGAGCATGCAAGCCATTTTTTGAAAAGACTAAGTCAACTTAATGCTTTTTGAGTCCCTGTTGGGAGACTTTAGACTTCCTAATCTCTATTCAAATTCTTTAAATCAATTTAATTTTCAAGAATTTTGTAATATAGTACCCAAGAAATAATAATACAAAAGTTTTGAATAGAAATTCACCTTAGCGTCTAATACAATTTTGAAGGGAGGTCCATGAAAAAACGATGCCTTGAATTTATCATCTCCTGTCACAAGCCTGTAGGGTCGTACCGGTCTCATGCTAATAGAATTTACACGAGCTGGTAGTGCATCCATTTCGCCCAGACTGTTGCCGCTATCAAACATTATAACAGCAGCATGTCTAAACAAATTACACAAAAATAAATTTATTATTATCCACGCAATCCAACCAAAATCGGACCAAAGTGTCTAAGAAAACAATTCTCACAAGGGGGCTAAAGGTTAAACTAAACAAAAAAGTAAATGTAGGTTGCAACTTTCAATGGAATATAAATATGGGTGAAAATTTGGTACTCCCGAAGTATGTGAACCAAGATGGCGGACACCGAAGGGAAGGCCCAAACGAAACAATCTACTTCAAAAATAAGTTTTTGTTTTGGAATATATTCTCCATTAGTTCACATTTAATTAACAGAGGAATTAGAACATATATGATAAAATAAGAGCAGAGTAGCTGAGATTAACCTTGATTTTCTATTTATACATTGTCAAAAGTTGAATAAGTTGGTTTTTCATCAGATATAAATTTCCAAATGACCTAATCTAATTTGAAAAATAAAATTTTTTCCAATATCAAATATAACTAAATTCAAATTGATTCGAATATTCAATTTGTTTCAGACATTTTAGTTCACAATAAATACTTACACAAATGCACCAAAGCAATAATCAATTAATTCTTCTACAACAATCTGCCAAATGTCATAGAGTTTAAGAATGTTGAGAAGAACGAAATAGAACAAAGAAATATATATATATAGGCTACACATGATTCATACTTTTTATTTCTCCCGTCTCCACCTACAGCTACTCTTTTGCTTTCTGGTCCCCATGCGATATCTCTTATTTCCCCCCCAAATGGTCGAAATTTACTCTGAAATGCAAAAAGAAGTGTTTAATAAGTTTGGAAATTTTTTTATGAATTTATTACAAAATGAATCTTTATTGTCATGTCATTCAGAGAGATTCCACCAAGTTCAAGTGCTTTTCAATTTTTTTTTGTGCATTCCTACCTTTCCTATTTTAAATCTCTTTAATCCTGACAACTTTTAAAAAATCCTCAGATAGCATTACGGGAAAACAGCAATCCGGCCTTTCCGCAGTTTGAATAGTTTATAATGCATGTAATAACAATTGAATAACTAAAAAATTATTAGTGAAAAAATACACAGAGTATAAAGTCCTATTTCTGTATTTACTCAAAAAAAAAAAAAAATCCCCCAGCAGAGAAACGCTGTACTACCCGAAAAAAAAGGTAACAACTGAATTTTATTTAAAAGAAAAATTAGAAAAAAAGTGACAAATTCCATAACTTACTTTCAATTTTTTCTCTTCATGCTTTGGCTCCCAAATCCTAATTTCGCCAGTCTCATCTCCGGAACAAATATATGCTCCAGATGGACTGTATTGAGCGGTAGTTGCATTCTTCACATGCTCACAATAGACATCACATTTCTTGGGGTTCTGAACATTGTTTTTTAAATATTATGAATGTGCAGTTATATTCAGTTATTACATGTTAGGTGGAGATCAGAATGATGAGCTCTGTAATCCTATGACACATTTTTTTATTACCTAGTACCTACCGGTATATATTGGCCATGCAGAGTATGAAAGTGCCAAGTGGGTTACACTATGTACTGGCAAAAATGAATATCATAAGTTAGTTACTATTCCAGATGCCTTCAGAATAATATTTTCCAAAATAGCATATTTATACTTGTTGAATTAGGAATAAAATTGCATTTGAGAACATTGTCTGATTGTAACATTTGTAGATATGGAATTTGATCTTCGCAGAAAGTTAGGATTTTGAAAAAGGAAAAGTTTTTGTGTTACCAACAATAGACATAATGAAGCAAAACGATCAGCAGATCATCTTTTAGTCAAACAATAATATAATTAATTTGATTCTATATATTTTTTAGAAGATTACATGAACTGTGAGACCAATCTTTTAAATTGTAGTACTGGGAAAAACCCCTCATGGATACCACATAGGCTGACAATGGTATTCATACTGAGAGAATATATAGGAACCTCTGACTTTAGTTTGAGTAAAATATATTATATGTGTAAGGTAGGGCCTATGTAATTTTAACAGGTTATATGTACGTAATATCTGAATATCCCAACCATGAAATTAAACATACCTCTACATCCCTGATAATAACTCCTTTTTGACTTGTGTACAAATAGGTTTTTCCATCCGGTGATCCTCCGAGAACATATGACTTCGCTCTAGTCAAACTTGGCACTGGTGGAAATGTTTCCACTGAAACAAAAAGATTAAAAAATATAATTGTGCTTTAGACCAGTGGTTCCAACCGGTGGACCTGTCCGCAGGAAATTTTGTTGTTTTTCTCACGTCTCAAATATTCCAGTATTCTGACATTAAAATTCAAATAACTTATTGGGTCTCCTGAAGTACACGCCGCAAGTACTTCTAGTTGGCCTGGCTTAACAATTTTTGCATATGTCATTCCTAACCCCCACCTGACTATGTCATCTGAAAATTACATCACTGCGAACTGGCAGTGACGTAATACGGCCCTCCAAAGTCAGAAAGTATACAAATGGTTGTGCAGACAATCATCCGAAATCGAGTAGGCTATTTTTCTTGTTTTCTCGTCATACCATTTGTATACTTTCTGACTTTGGAGGGCCGTATTACCTCACTGCGAGTTCGCAGTGATGTAATTTTCAGATGACATAGTCGAAACGATACCGATAAGAGCGAGGTCGCTGACGTTAGTGAGTTATTATAGTCGGCATGACACGATTGTGACGTCGCAGTGATAGATAGATAGTTTTATTTTGAAAACTCCACAATCTGACAATACGAGCAAAAAAAAAAAAAAGAGAATTTCAGAGAGCGAGCAAAACCTTTAAAAAAGTTTAAAACAAGATGAGTATCATGTGCCCACTCATCAACACGCAATCACAAAAAAAAACACAACTTTGTTAAACAAGGCTTAGGCCAGAAATAAACGCAAAAAATATGCGAATGTACTAATCTTTTGGACTGTTGTTCCCTTTAAAATACTCAAGCTAATAAGGACCAATTCAATCTGATACAAAGACAATGTGTGTAGGTGTAATGTAATGTGATAAAGTGACGAGAAGGGTTAAAAACCATGAAAACTACATTGATTTGGCATTGGTGACAATGTGATACAGTGAATCAAGATACATATCTGCATATGAACAAATCAAAACAATGCTGGCAAATTCTGCGCTCAGGCAATTATAAAAACAATTATCAGGATAACAGGATGTAATTTTTGGGTGGCGTACTTAGGTGGGGGTTAGGAATATTATATTAATCAAATCATTATGCTACACCCACTAGAAATACTTGACGGGGCGTACTTCAGGAGACCCAACTTATTATTGCATATAAATAAACCTAATACAGTAATGAATGGCCTGCTACCCTGATAAAAACCTTATGAAATTAACAGATATGGGCTTAATAAAAATGTTCATACTATCATATTGAAATAAAAAAAGTTGACAAAACTTTCATCATACTGTCATAAACAAGACTCAAGAGATAGGCTAAACCACTCAACCGAGTGATATTGCCAGAACATTACAAAAGTATGCCTGTATGCATTAGTCAGTCAGTGGTTATTCTGTTATTTCACTACCGTGCCGGTACCGGTATTCCTTATGCAGTTATGTGATCTTGCTCATTCAGACATAAGATTAGAAGAGGACAGATTGCAAACATTTTTCAAACTTACCAAATTCTAAGTTTAAAGCCATGATGTTGAACTTCTTACGTCGGATGACAAATTAAACTTGACGTCGTATGATTATCCACAGTTCCAAACGCAGCGTTATCCTGTTGATACCGAGAGATTTCAGAATTACAATTAAACCTATCTGCAGAACTAACTGTACGGCAGTGAGCGACAAATGGAGCAATTTATATTAAATTCGGATACTAAATTTATGAGTAAAAATAAGATGGCATCTGTATTTGGTATTTTGAGTATCGTATTATACTATATAACGTCACACTATTGCGACTCTGTGTTGCGAAAATATTCCAGTTTAGAACAGACGGTACCTCCCGGAAGCATTCCATATATGGCAACACCAAAGCAAGAGCCGGCAACAATTTACTGATGCGTTAAATGACATCACACGAAGTCAGACTTCTGTTCTCAGTACCTCGATGGCTCCCATGCACGGTTGTCACAAGGATGGGATTTACATATTTATCCCTGGGGAGATGGAAGCCGATAAAACGGCTTTCGCATTTGCCAATGATAGATGGTCAGTCATAAAATTAACTAAGTTCTGACTTCAGTTACTGACCCAAAATCTTCAGTATGCAGACATCTCGGATTTTTTACACTGATATCCCAAACTTTTTGCAGAACTCTTGAAAATCCTGTTGTGAAAACTTGTCTGATTTTTCAGCCCAGATAACTATTGTTTTTTTTTTTGATCATCATGAGCTTCTACCGAAGATATAACCTCCACAGATAAGTAGATAACGGTCCTTGGTCGTAGTTCAATTTGAATTTGATTCGTTTTCATGGAATACATTGAATCAGGTCTCTCCCCGTGTTCGATTCCGTACTAAAAGCTTTTCCGTGGTAATTGGTCGATGTCCTAACGCATTGGTTCTCAACGTGGATTCCGTGGTCGCTTAGGGGTATAGTCCAGCGGATAAGAGGTAAAATCATGCACTTTTGGAGGCAAGCATGAAACTTGCCACACATGTACAGAAGCATCCCCTGATCAATTTTGGATATGGTGCTAACCGAGAAAATACCTCGTTGCCATGGAAACGAGGCATCATCCGTATTGCTATTTAAGTGAAATGAACATTACTTTATGAAAGAATATTTTCAAGACAAGTGAACCGATGTGTATATAAGAAGTGAAGAATATGATCAGAAGTGCATTTTGACAATTTCCCTTGACAACAGAATACCTGGTTACCATGTAAACGAGGTATCATTGTCGACCAAACGCGATTATTTATCGCACAACCTGTATTTTCTGTTATTGTCATGAATCACAAATTAAGCTACATTCACTTTCAAAATGTAATTCCTTTTGTGCTCAATCAACTGACATCGCCAATTTTATACTTTTAAACTCATAGCCACGTAAAGCTGGTGAAAATATAAAATATATATGTCATAGCTGACGGATTATTGTTATCATGGAGCTATCATATCGTCATCATATATTTTAATAAATATAAATTCATTCTCTTAACTCTGGCATTAGTATCTCAGTCTCAGTCAGATAAAAACGGAAAACCTGCATTACATTTCAGCTCAAACTCGGCTGGACTCGTTGATTATTCTAATCTATATCTAACGTCGCCTTATGTAAGTGATACAAAACAAAATAAATAAAAAACGATTAAAATAATTATGTTTTTCAAAAATATATTCCACAAAGACTCCCCAATAACTAGTGGGGACAATTTTACTAATTAGATATATACTCCTGCACTTTTGGATGCAAACATGAAACTTGGCACACATGTACAGTAGCATCTTCCGATGAATGTTGCAATGTCAGTCGTTATTTTCGCAATCCCCATTACAGAAACATAGTGGTGTACATGCTAAATCAGCACGGAAACATTTGCAGCGAGCAGCACAACCTTTCTTGCAGCCACAATGAATCCGCTCTGTGCAAATTGTGGTGCTTCGGGGATAGTCATCCATCTTGGTAAAAATTTGTCTCCTACTCTTCCCATCCCCATCTCTGTGCATCAGGTAAATTTTGTGAAACCTCTGTTGCTTTGCTCCAAATAAACACAACTTGGAAGATTGTCATGGCAATAAGAGGGCTTGAACAACGTGGGAAAATCTTCCATACCTGACCAAGACGCTGTTAAGCCTACTGATGCTAGAGGAGACATGTTATGCTTTTTGACGAAATAAAAAAAGCGTTATTTTAGCTTATGTCCGAGAGTTTCTAGGGTCATTTCCACGAAATATTTTTGCGAGGGGGCCCACGAGAGGATTGCTACGCCACTGCTGCGTTCTGTAATCACGCCAGTAATCTGGCGAAACGCGTGGTAGTCCAACAGACACTTAGGCCGCGAGCCGAGGCCATTTATCTTTCAGTTTCGTAGCGCACATCAGGTAACTACCTGAAAATGATTTTAAAATGTTCCTTAGAAATTTAGTAACAAATATTGCCTTGTTCCCACTTCCAAAAGTTGCACGTTTTACAGAAAAGACGCTTTTACTACAATAAATATGTGTTACCATCTGTCCTATTTTCTCTGCTTTTCCGGTATCATGGGCCAATGAACGCAGACTTCTGCACGACGTAACAGTCAAGTTAGTCAGCTGTAGGTGGATCCCCAGTGGTCGGATGAATATCAGATGTACTCAACTGCTCGCTTTTGCGTTGAGTAGCCTTTCCATAGTTTTTTTCAGTTACCGGTAATATTAGTCCAGTTATTCTAAGGAGGTGTTGAAAAGTATAGGTAAGATATTAAACACTTGTATATCCTTGCCATAAATAGCAATTTTAGTTGAGCACTAGCTCATAAGGCGTTGTTAAATAGGTACCGGTACGGTGCGGTAACTCCAAGGAAGGCTAGACCTAGAATAATATGTCACAAACAACGATATTTTCTGGCTTGCATGAAATGTTTATGATTAATTTAATGACTCTTCTTGACTATTCAGCAGACTTATACTACTATATAGGCCACAGCATATTTGGAAATAGAAATGAATGGCTGTTTCTGTAATGCACGGTTGTGTGAAAGAGAAGAAATTAATCAATTTTACTAATGTCGGTTGGTCTAAATCTAAATTCATAGAGTCGACAAGAACCTGGGAAGCAATGATAAGTTATGCCGGAGTGGAAAGAAAGGTAGCATTGGAAATGATTGAGAGGTGAGAAATGAAGTTGTAGACAAACAGTTGATGTTTCAAAATATAGTCTATAGTCCATACTCATACTGTCATAGGACATTTCAGACTGTGATATATCAAAATTTAGTGTAGATATAGTCTAGTAATGGTATGCAAACACTGCTGGACTGTAGAACATGCAATGAGCATATATACGCTCATTTAGTACATCAGATAAAATGCATTATGTATTCAAGGTATTAGTTAGTATTTAGGGGTATTTTTAAAATCATGCTGCTCCAAATATTATTTTCTTCCTTATTTTAGATACTGTACTACAAAAGAAAACGGCAATGTTCCACCAATCCGACCTAACGCAGGCTCTGATCCCTGCTGCTATCAGTGCTATAAAATGGATTAAACAAGAAGTCTTGAAGCTTAAAGGTATATGAGAATCATAATAGTTGCAAACAGCTTAGATGGGCTATTCATATTGAAATACTTTAGCACTTTTCTGCAATTGGAACTGCCCATCAATTCATGTTGGAGACTTCATTGAGATTTTCAATTCATTTTTTTCCCTCGACTATGAAGATCTTTTGAGGTTAACGAGGTATTAATAAATAAAGCTGAGGAATTTGAAGAGGATATGAAGAATGTAAATGATACCAGGGCACGTCTATTTAACACTGTCAAACATAAGGATTATACTCTCCACCCAACAATGATTCACTGAAGAAGCATGTGGCCCTCAAATCAGTTCTTGAGTTGGCAAACTGCAAAGAAAAATAGTCAAAATAATTTATGAAAGTGTGCCAAAATCAACTTAAATTGCACAAATTTTTGTTTTTGTATTGACTGCAGAAATCACAGTACACCTATAGAGGGAAAGTCGATTTTTGAGATAGTGGATTTCGAAAACAATTCAGAAGAAAGTGAATTAGATATTACAGTTGATTTAATAAGTATCATACGTTTGTTTTTTTTTTCGGACATTTGTTAGTGTCGTAGTCCTGTTTCTAGAAATATTATTGCCTTTGTTCAAATACATAACCACATAAACTAAAAAAAGATTAATTGTAAATTGTAATATTTCTGTTCACTATGTTATGTACATATTGTACATTCATTTAATTTCCTTGACTTTTGCGGTAAATTTCTAAGTGAAAAATAACTGATTTATTTGTGTTTTCAAGCTCACGATGTTAATTTGTGACTTCATTGCTTAAAAATAAATACGTTTGATACTTGATAGCTTCTATAAAATGGATGTAGCTTTTTATGCTGTTCTTGTTGTAAACTGCTTGTGGTTATTACATAAAATTTATTCTCAAATGTGAATCAGCGTTGTTGGTGTCGCTGCTTTCGAGGTCACTCCCGACTCCTGTCACACAATTAAAGTATTTTTGGTTGTTGGTTACATGTATGCCATATTTTTCGTAATCTACCTAATAAATTATGATTGACTGAGGAAGTCCGATTTTGGTCAGGCAAAACATTACAGGAATACATTTGTGTTAGTGTGCTGTAGGGCTCTCGAATTGCATAGTTCTTATGTATGCGTTGTAAACTTATGGTTATTGAATTTCCGGGAACCTCTTATATTCAATTCGCACCAGGATTGTGGAACAAGCTGTAATGCGTTCATTATGTTCGTTTTCACACAAAACTGAAGAATTTATTTAGTTACCAGATGTGCGCTACGAAACTCATTTTCTGGGCGTTTTCATGGTTTCGTATCACGGCCCATATCCGTGGTAAGGATCTACAAGTGTTTAATAATTTACTTATACATTTTTCAACAACGTCTTAGCATAACTTAACTAATAATAACTAAACAGGGCTATGGAAAGCCTGCCCAACTCAGCGCAAGGTCGAGCAGAAATAACTAATATTCATCCGCTCGCTAACAGCTGGTTTAATTCAATTGTTACGTCATGCAGAAGTCATTGTTCAGTGCCGAAAATGTAGAGAATATAGGACAGATCGTAGCACATATTTCTTGTAGTAAAAGCGTCTTTTCCGTAAAACGTGCAACTTTTGGAAGTGGGAACAAGGCAATATTTGTTACTAAATTTTTAAGGAACATTTTAAAATCATTTTCAGGTAGTTACCTGATGTGCGCTACGAAACTCACTTTCTAGGCGTTTTTCAGGGCCTCGGCTCGCGGCCTAACTGATGCAATGAAACTTTCATAAATTTAGTAATTTGCACTACTTCACGAAAGCGTGGTGGAATTGACGATTATTTCATATCTGGAACACAAAAAAACAGTTATCTTTTTCGGATAGTTTCTGCTGTCTGAAAAGTCGAATTAGCGTTTCGACATAGTAAATGCTATGATCTTTGCCATCAAATTATGCTCGGGCCTTGTACAAAATCCATAACGTGAAAAAATAAGTCCAGCGGTGAAAATTGTTCAACTTCAAACCTGTTCAGTGTTTTTAGCGATAATAATTAATTGTTGTAATGAAATACAGCACGTTTGCCTCTTTCATTTCTCTCGCAAGTGCAGATAATAACACTATTGAATGATTTTGGCAATGGGAGAAACATATTAAATTGTAACTAAAATGAATTAGATTGTGAAAAAGTGAGAATACAATAGGCGTAACGAAGAAGGGCGAGCAGAACCAAAGCGCGTGATCGGCGGTGCGTTTGAAGAGCACGTATTACTAGGCTTACCATACGTCCCGCGTTAGGCGGGACAGTCCAGCTTTTTATCTTCTTGTCCCGAAAAGTCGGTCAAAAGTCCCGCTTTTGCGTTCAGCCATCCAGCATAATACACAAACATATTCTTGTTAATGTTGTTGCTGTGCATGTAGCGCAACGCTAGCCCACTTACTGAAGGTGAATACGTTATTTTGGTTGTTTCCCACTAACATTGTTAGCGGACGTATCACATGTAAAATCAATTCTAATTAGTCCTGTTTGGACATTCACGTGAATGTAACATTGAGCAACGTCTTTTTGAAGGTGTTATCTACAGAAAAGCATGCTTAGGGAATGAGTAAATTCTCAATGCTTGAAAACGGCAGTCTATTTCTTTATTCCTTTTGCTGTACATAAAAAATCTAAATTCGGATCATTTGTATCGTTAGCGTCTATTCCTTTCTATTTTCGAACTGCACCCGATATTTAGAGAATATGCGCATGAACTCTCGATGACAATAATGGTCAATGAAGACAGCCGGGATGGCTTTAAATGTAGGCCTATGTAGTAAAATCGGAAACTGTAAAGTTACAGTATCACAGCTAAGGGGCCGTGTCTTTGGAGGCGTCCCGATTTGAAGTCCAAAAAATATGATAACCCTACGTATTACCCACGAGGCGCGCAACTTTTACAATAATGTGAGGTGCTCCGAAGACGCTCTCGTTTACATTAATGTAAGAAAACAGTTGTAATATCGGTAACTATTAACCATGTGTTCGCGTTCGACTATCGTACTCTTTAAAAGAAGAAAATGTTTGTGTTTTGTGATAGGTGTGTCGCGAATATTTAAAGAGCTAAATAGTGTGCCGCGATCTAAATCTCTAATATCTCTGCGTCGATATTACATGGAATAAATACGTAATTTTATTGCCATGCAAGTTGTTTCAATCTTTTACTTAATCCCGGGATTATACGGCTCAATCCCGGGATATCCCGATACCGGAATTTCAAAAACTACCTAGGGGTCCCGATGCAATTTCAGAGGGACGGCGAATCCACTTTGATTGTAAAATAGAAGCACTACTGAAAAAACTTTTTAAGTCATTTTAACGCAAGATCAATGAGCAAAAGTGTAAATGATAACCAGGGTTATAGGCAGGGCTGCCATAACGTCCTTATTTCCAAGATTTGTCCATATTTTGAATGTCTTTGTCTCAGAAAATATTTTTGTCCATATTTCTAAGAAACGTTCTTACTTTGACATGTGTCTTTATTTTATGGGTAGAGGTTCTAATACCAGGCGCTTAAAATGATATTTTACAACCTCATTGATTGCTACGCGCATTCATTACGTAATAACAGCAAATTAATTGACACAGTGACAAAACAATAGCCTACTGACCAAAATCAGTTGGTGTAACGTGAATCAGATGACAACTTAAAAGTGAGATGAAACAGATTGTTTCTAAGAATAAAGAACTGCTGGAGCAAATCTCTTCTAGTGCAAAGTATGATTCGACACGGGCCGCACTGGCATAAATACATTTTATTTCTCACATTATTTTATTATTATATTCCCCGGTTAATATGGATCGCAGCCCTGGTTATAGATATATATCTCCAGTAGACATGTAAGAAGTTAGTCGTTGACACGACAAATCAACTCTTTGGCCAGTGATGGACCGGACCGATATACCTTGCAGTAAATTTTGTACGAGCGGTACCAAGTGCTTCGCCTGGATGTTACTCTATCGACGGTTCATACATACATCTGACTGACTGCTATAATGACCACCCAGTTCGTAAAATAATTTCGACGAAAATTATATTGTTTTTAGCTATTAAGCAGCCCAAGCGATAACTAGGAGCTATGATTAGCGTAATTTGCTATATCAACCTCCAACAAATATTAGTCATATAGAATCCACTCCATCAGTATGGAATAGATGATTGAGACGAATAATTCTGGGGAAGTTTGGAAAAAATTATCTTGGGACCACATCAGGAAATACTGCAGTGATATAATAAACAATTTCCTTTACGCATCGACTATTCTGGGATCTAAAAAAAATTATTATAGTTTTAGTAAATACTCTATCAGATAATGTACTTTTTGGAAAGATTTTTCGCACCAGTAATCCAGAAAATATGCAGTGTTCCCTCTAAGAAATTGTTATACTGAGCTGTTTGTTTTACTGTGCATGAATATTTTGAGGCTGAGCAGAGTTCTAAATGATTTACAAATTATGTGAAATATTACAATAATATAATATTAGAATGCAAACAAAGTACACATTTAACTCAAATAGTTTCTTGAAATACGACACCGGACAGCGCTGGCGTTGTAGAATCGGTCCGTTCCAAATGATTCTAAAGAAATTAATGTACTTGGACGTAACAGATAAGTATTTTTGTTTTCTGTGTCTGTATGTTTTCTTATATTGTTGATATATAGGCTATATATAAAGATAAACTATTTTTGACAAAAACAGGATGTCGTACAAATGTAGTGGGCAAGTAATTGTTTCTGATTCAATTTGTGTGCTGTTTTCCTTCTCCCTCCTTATTCCGCTACGCACCATTTGCCCAATACATACATCCTTACACTTTTTTGCATCATGCCGCGACATTTCAGTCATTCTCGATCCGACTGTACTCTCACCCATAGTTTTTAATTATACGACGTCCACCAAAGATTGAGAAATATTCTTTGATTTTAATTATGGACACTAGGTTTTGTTTTAGAATTTTTTTTTACGAAATATTCATTTTTCGTAGTCATGACAGTCCTTCGATATATATATATATATATATATACAATTATAAAGGAGCAGAAGATTTGTATTGGGTTTGGTGGGTTGATTTATTATCCCAAATTTAACCAATCCATAATCTGGCGCTGTGAATTTTTCCGCATTGCGCTATTTATCACTGAGCTCCCGGATTTTGTGTCTTTGTAATTGAATACTTTTTTATTTACCCTATAGTGAATGTGTGATGTTCATACAAATAGATAAGTTTTGAGTAACTAAGGAACGAGATAGCGATCAGAGACGGCGACCTATCGATCTAGCGGCGTGTATCCTCTGATCTGGCCCAATAGCGACATCACGTGTCCCATCACTAAATAATTATTAACTCGCTAATTATACGACATAATTCATCTAAAAACAATAGTCTTCTGGTCCGAGTTATGATGAATGCACATGCAAAATTTGGAGCAGATTCAATACCGCTTTCGTGAGATATCGCGTGTAGCTCACAGACAAACAAACAAACCAGCAAACAAATACCTATCAACACCGATCAAGATCGATTAGTAATAAACCCAATGATGTCTGTTACTGCTATGAAGTCAAAGCAACAAAGATTCGATAGTCTATTTGGGATCGGGCTTTTTAATTGCGCGGGCATTTGCACATATATATATATGCAATAATCATAATCCTTTGCACCATTCACACATTTCGCGCATTTGCGTCCGAAAATTCTGTGAGAAAAAATTTCCAGGGGTGCAAATGTCCGCGGTAGCTAAAATTTGCGGATGCAGTTCACGGGTGCAAACGTGATGTCATTATAATACGCATATTATCGTATCGAATATATTCAACAAAAAGTAATAGCTCGAAGAAACAAAATTGACACGACCGCAGTTCGAGGTGCGTGTGTAATTTATGAGGTTATATCAACTTATATGCCGATAAATGAAACCGCTATCAATATGCTTCGATGTAATAATGCTAAACAGCCCGTCCATTCGTAATATCTCTTCGTATAGATCTTCATTCCTATATATTCCGTTTGGTGACCGTACATTTGAACCCACGTACATTTGAACCCATGCGTATATCCACGGGTTCAATCTATATGCGGGTGCTAAAACCCATGGGTTAGGGTTAGTATGGGTTTAACTACCCGTGAAACAAAAAAAATTCCATAGGTGCAATAGCATACAGGTGCAATTATCATGGGTTCAAATGTACGTGGGTTCAAATGTAATGGAACCATTCCGTTTAGTAACACCAGGAAGAACACAGATATAAAAAGTGCACCGCCGCACCACGCAAATGACTCAGAACTTACAACGCAGAAGCGTGTACACATATTTGAAATCATCAATGAGTTGGGTCTTTTATTTGTTAAGTTGAAAACTCATAATAATTATGTCATTGTAACGTGAAACGCGTGGACAGATTAATCGCTTGCTCAGTAATACTATATATATATATATATAACATATGAGTAAAACGCTTTATTCACATTTTGAAATTAATTTATTAATATATATAGTATATATATATATATATGGGTAGTGAGGTAATATACATTTCAATCATGATGAGTTGATTATTCTAATAACTAAATACTATTTTTTTAAGACCGCATATTTACGATATCGCAAATATATTTTTACGAAACAAAAAGGCTAATCAACAAAGATAGAGAACGTTGAGAAGTGGTGTCTAACCATTCATGCGATTTTTAGTATCTAGTCAACCTAGTGTTTTATGATGTAACGTGGCATGGTATTCATCCAAAACTCAACTTCCTTTTCATAAAAATTTCCACCAACGGTAAACGAAGAATCAACAATGAGGTGTTCTTTATTTTGTCCATAAAGTGGCCATTTTGTGCCAACTTTATTTCCTTCATTTGGATTTCTAGTGCAATAAAATCAAGTTGAGTTTTAATATAATTTGTAATGTTTACTTATACAAAAATCTGATAAATAGAAAGATAAGAAAGTAGACTATAATTTTAAGATACAGGAAGAATAGTTTCAGAATATATTGATCAGTTCATTTGGCTGAACTGACATGCGTCATTTCTGTTTTACCTCGAATGTAATCTGAAGTTGAGTATATTGTAACATAATTTAATATTCACGCTTACAAAAAGTATGTAAATGAAGTAACTTACCCCGTTTTGGCAAAATTTGTTAAATATGTCATGAATTTACAACTGATTTCCTTTTCTTCTTCTGAAAATTTTGCACCAAATGACATTGGATTAGAAGAGAATGGCATTCCAAACGTCATAAAAATATCATCACCGTGGTCACAAACGCACCAATCTACTTTTTTTGGAACTTCTGGTCCATAACGCGTCTCATGAAACATTTTCAACCGGAAGGTACCGTAATACATATAGACCGGAACACCAGCAGCTGGAAGGACAAAATGTATTTTGTTTTTAATTACAATGTTACATTTATTTACAATTGTTTACAATAGTTACATTTTGTGAACCAATAGCTCCATCAGGCTGTCCATAGAGTTTAAACTGCCAATAAAATAATCGGGTTCTCACAGGAATAACTGGACGCTGTCTGAATTGCGTTCGTAGCAAATAATTCGTCAGCTGATACTTTGCCAAACAATTTGCTGAATCTCATTTTGTCCTCAGAATCGTTGATGTAAAATTCTTTGCATTTTTTATACCCATCATCAGTCATCTGTAAATGATTATCGCAAATAATCAGCTACACTTCTGTTTATATTTATAAAACACGGCTTTATCGAAACATTATATACACTAAAACAAAATCAGACATGACTAAATTTTAGATATATATATAGAAATTTTGGTACTCTTGTAGTATGTGAACCAAGATGGTGGACGTAGTATGTGTACCAGGTTAGGCCTTAATTCGAAGTACAAATACTACAGAAGTCACTTGGCCAGTCCCCGAACTCGTAATAGAACTAAAATAAGAAAAAGTGAAATAAAATTATGGCCTAACCCTAACCTGGTTCACATACTACGTTCCGTTGTCCGCCATCTTGGTTCACATACTTCTGGAGCGCTGAAATTTTTACGTGGTAGTTGAAAAATACAGGCATAGAAAAGCGTAAGGTATACCTGTTACGTTGGACCTGTCTGTGAGCAACATACAGTTTGGCGAAAAAATTAAATGTGTTAAAATAGGTGCAAAAACACAGCATAAAAATAATGTTATATATATTGAAAACTGTACACACCGTAACACGCATTGCGTTTCTTGATTCATCCTCAGTGAGACCTTCCGAGTATTTCGAACACAGCATAGCCGTTAGCAATCCATCACCTTCAGTGTTGTTAAATCCAATTATGTATGGCAGTTTAGGGAAGTCCTTATCTTCCATGAATTGCTCGGGTGTTTTTGGAAGCACATTGCCATATTCAGTTGGCACGAAGGGGTACGCTTCATGCTGAAACCAAACTACAAGTTTATAACATAAATATAAACACGTAATCCTTGCTATTCTACCCCGATATCTACTTTGAATTTCGACATTCGGTGTTATTTATGTATATACAAATGTATTTTAAGACAAGATATTCAAAACTGGTGGTATATCATCGAAACCCTATTTGACATTTCCTTAATTAAGTCACAAATAAATCAAAACATATTTAGCTGCATAGTCGGACAAATATATTAGAAGTATGCATATGTATACATTTCTTATGCCAATAGATATTGCTCCTTCAACTTTTCCTTTTCTAAACTGGACTGAACAACTGCAATAAACAATATATTATATATATCTACAAGCGTAGTAGTATTATATTGCCCAAAAAACCATACGCATATTTTACTACCAATTCTCAATTCCATTTATCGATGTCCTCATTTTGACATATTGAATTTCTAGCTGTATATTAACGAAGACAATCTTAGGTGTGTTTTAAAATACTATAGCCAAAACATGAAACCCCAGTAAACTGCATTGATGCGTTGATCAATTCTTCGGCTGAAGTGTTTTGCAACGCTTGAAGCGTTTTATCGGCATCCATTTGTTCGATTTTGAGATAAGACAGACCTTTCTTATTTGTCTCTGCATGTTCAGCTTCAGAATGTACAATCGCTGTAATATAATTTTAACTTTGTCAACAGACACAGACGTACGAGCGAACTGTAACCAATGTCTATAACAATCAATCGAACATTATAAGTACTGCATATATATACCCAATTTAATTACTGGGTCATAGACAAGTATATCGGCATCTCTGTAAACCCAAATGTGTTTAATAGTTACATCTGCCCTATTAGTACTTATTGGTATTACCTTTTGCAGTTGCCTGTCCACTGTGACTGATTGCTTTATGGAATAAACCATGCGAGAGAGGAGATAGTATATGAATGTTCACAGAAACCCCTCCCGCACTTTCACCAAATATCGTCACGTTGTTTCGATCACCGCCAAAATTTTCGATATTTCCCTGAATCCATCTAAATGAGGGAAATATCTATAAATTTTATACGTCCAATGCTGTTAACTGACAGAAAAGTATGCAAATTATACCGAACACTTACTTTAGCGCCATCTGCTGATCCAATAATCCAGCATTACCCGGGCAGGCAGATGATGGACCGAGTGATAGAAATCCAAATATTCCCACTCTGTAGTTTGGAACAACGACTACAACGTTATTCATACCCGCCAGTACTGTACCATCATAGAAACGTTCCGAACCCATGCTAAAAGCTCCTCCATAAATCCAAAACATGACCTGTTCACAAAAATAAAAAAAATAAATGATATTTACCTCAGATGCAATTTTAGAAAAAAATTCGATACTACAAAAACGAGAATATTATTGAGTGAATTTTCTTTGCATTAGTATATTGCTTCATTTGAGTAAATTACAACGAGGTTATATCACACATGTGATTTGGAATTATTTATAAGTGCAGTGAATTTAAAATGTTTTTTTTAATACTATATTCACATTGAGATATTATGAAGCACTAAATACATCTAGTGAGTATGGAATTAACTGAAAAATCTTTTGTACATCTCCAAGTAAATAAGTAGCCAGAACTTCCACAAAGCAATCCCGTTAGATGGCGGAGGAAACGTAGCATAAATAGTTTCACACACAGTTTACTCTTATACAATAATCGATAGTATTTATATGATTATACATGCAAAACTCCTGTGATTAATATTGATGCAGTGTATGTGCATTGTCTATGAGTAGTGATTAATAATGTTGTAGATGTACCGATCAACTGTGTTTTATATATTGATAAATATAAAAAAAATGATAAAATTCATTCGACTTACTGCAAGATTTTGTCCTCTACTTGTAGATGGAGTATATACCGACAGGTGTAAACAATCCTCGTCATGTTTTGAGACGACATCATTTTGATTCATAAAGAGCCAATTTTTCATCATTATTTGATCAAACTCTTTTGCATACATTGCTAAATTACCCCTAGTCGTGCCATCTCTGATTCCATCCCACGGTTCAGCACTACAACAAGGTTAGTAGTTTATTTTAGGCATTTTCTTCTTTGATAAGACATAGTACATAACAAATAATTATATCACAATCTGAGTACATGTATTTTGCTCATATTATGAAATCGAATTCGAGTTGAGTGAGATTCAATTCAACCAGAGCAACCACACTCTGAGTATTTGTGCAAAAGTAGAACTGTTCAAGTCCCGATCCCGGTTTCGAATGATTAACATTTCACTCAACACCACATTATCACCCTTGTGTATTGTGGTTGCCGGCTACACGGATAAGGCAGAGGAACACATGCGCAAAAAATTTATTTAAGGCTATGATCAAATTAACATTACTCATCAATCCCTGTCGTAAAAAACTATTCAATTCAAAAAAATTAATTCAAATAATAGCTAAATGTGTGATTTGCTAAAAAAACATTCTATTTTAATGGCTTAATTAACGATTAGGCTACATAATAAATTTCAAGCGAATAAGCGAATTGATAAATGATATCATGCAAAAACAAATTACTAACATGTTTTCCAAATAACTTACACATAATTCCAATAGATGATTGAACTATATTTTTTTTTATTAATTTAGTTCATTAAGGAAATTTGAAAGTCTGTCCTCATGGTCTCAAATTATGATTTTAAAAATTAATTATCCATGGACAATGAAAACTATAATCAAATATAGTTTGCTCATACAACGATCAATGACGATATAGCTAGCACATGGTTTAGAAGCTATTCTTGTTTACATATTACTTACGGTTGTGGAGGCATGAATCTTAATTCCCCGAGTGGTGGTTTAGCAAAAGGAATATTCCGAAAGATATGTACAGGAATTCCGCCTTTTTCGTCTAAATTTACAACTTTACCTTTCACCATTCCATTTGTAGTAGATGTCACGTCTTTTGATAGCCCGGAATCTATATCGACGAGACACAATGAAAACGTATCGAACGCGCCACTCTCAGCCCCTTTGTCCACAAACAAGACACGTGCATAAATCACTTCTTTATATTCTTGGCAAAGAACAGCGGTTTTCTTAAATAAAATAAAACAAAATTGATTAACATAAGTCAAAGCATATAACAACAACAAAAGGCAAATTTCTCACCAAACGTTTTCCGATCCGGGAGGCTAATACAATTACAATATATAACAAATAAATAAACAGTCCACAATACAGACAAACATCTGCGACTCTTTACACGACGAATACGTGATGCAAATGACCGAAAGGAAAACGCTAAACCAGACAATAGATAATAATACTAATTTACGCTACAAACAAAGGGTAATAATGAGTCTACAATGATTGGATGCAAGGCAGAGCACGATGCACTGCATACAGTGGCAAAATATACGACAAACGTACGTTTACAACGTAACATACCCCCACCCGAATATATGACCCAGGGAATATATTCTAAAAAATTAAACGTTGTAAATGAAACAATAATTCGATCGACTATTTTTGGTCTTCTAGAAATCGACATAGTTTAGTAATGGGTCGTCTGACAACATTTGTGCCGGTTCTCACCAACACTGAGCGGACGAGTCCATGTTTGTCTGGGAAGGTATTTATAACCCTTCCAACAGTCCATCGACCGCGAGGAATCGATTCATCAACTAGCAGAACTATATCGTCGACTTTGAAGTTATCACGTCCTTTCGTCCATTTCGACCTTTGTGTTATTGTTGGCAGGTACTCTTTTATCCATCGACGCCAGAATTCATCAGCCAGATATTGTACCTGGCGCCATCGCTGTCGAACGTAGCAATCACGCTTCGTGAATACACCTGGTGATACATTTGGTGACGAACCAACAAGTAGTAGATGGTTGGGCGTCAACGGTTCATCAGCTGAGTGGTCCATTATCACTGGAGTTATCGGTCTGGAATTCAGTATCGATTCCACTTCAACTAGTAGTGTCTCCAACTTCTCATGAGTTATCGATTGACCTGTCAACAATACAGATAGAATTCGTTTAGTTGATTTAATCATTCTTTCAAAAACGCCACCCATATGACTGGCGTATGGAGGATTAAAGTTAAATTCTACGTCACGTTGACGCAGATAGTTTGCAATACTTTGCTCGTTCCATTTGCTAATTGATTCTTTCAATTCACGACAAGCACCTACAAAATTGCTTCCATTGTCGCAATATATGTGAACAGGACGACCTCTGCGCCCAGTAAAGCGTCTCAATGCGTCAATAAAGTCGTCAGTTGATAAACTACTAGCTAGTTCGATATGCACGGCCCGAATCGATAGACAAGTGAAGAGACAACCATACACTTTAACTTGACTCCGTCCTTGCTTAACAGTCATTGGGCCAAAGAAGTCAACTCCAACATACGAAAATGCACGGACGTTATCATATAACCGAGCAGCGGGTAGGTCAGACATTATCTGCTCGCCAACATGGGCGTTCCGCTTTCGACAAAATATGCATTTTCCTATGACTTTACGAACTGCAGCGCCACCCTTCAATACCCAATATGTTTGTCTCAACGTCGTCCAAGTGTGACTCATTCCAGAATGTCCAACTTCAATATGACACTTGATTATCAGCAACGAAGTTAAATGATGTTCATTCGGTAGAATGGCAGGATGTTTCGATTCGTACGGTATTGACGCATTGTCTAAACGACCTCCCACACGCATTACGCCGTAGCTGTCCATAACTGGAGAAAGTTTACGAAGTGCGCGGGAGCAGTTAGACTTATTCCAAATCACAATCCCGCAACCCAGCATCTCCATAACCTTCGGAAACATCTGCCACTGCACGTATTTCACAAGTTGCGTCTCCGAAAACCTGAGCTCACTTAACGTCAAAGGACCAACATTGGGGTTGTTTGCCGTCTTAGATACCCGCATGAGCAGAAACAACTTGTATCGCATAAGCCAAGCTGTGGCTCTCCGCAAGCGAGTCCAACTAGAGTATCTTTGAATTAACGATCGGTAGCCGAAACCGTTTCAGAATTTTCGTTCAAGCAGTCAGTTAAGTTAATTTGCACGGGAATATGCTCGGAAGGTTGAAATTCCAGTGGCGGATCCGGCATACTAACAGGGTCAATAGGCCAATCCCTTTCATCCAACCATAAAAAATCCGGACCACGCAGCCAGCGATCCCGATTAAGAAATCTATCTACAGAAACTCCTCTCGAACCATCATCGGCTGGATTTAATTTAGTTGGAACGTAGCGCCAATTTGAAATATCACAATTCTGCTCGATCGTAGTTAGTCGGTTAGCAACAAACGTTGTAAACCGTTTCGAAGAGTTACGAATACTCTGTAGTATGGCAGTTGAATCCGCCCAAAAGACGCACTGTCTTAGTGAAAGGTCTAGCTCTTTTCTGATTATTGCTCCCAATCTCACGGCTAAAACCGCCGCAGTTAACTCCAAACGAGGCACTGATACGGGTTTAATTGGAGCTAGTCTAGATTTACCCATCAGGAAAGCGCAATGAACTCTAGAATGTTCGTCAATCAGACGCAGATATGCAACGGCGCTGTATCCGTTATTCGATGCGTCTGCAAAAATATGTACCGTATTTATTCGCAAATACGCCGAGTTTAAAACTCTAAAAAAAAAAGTTGCCCAACTAAGGGACCGTCTTATTCTCGCATAACTCAGATAGCACCAAAAAATCTCACAGAATAATACTCCAGCATTAATTCTTAACAATAAAACTGTAATTTCAATCATTTTGAACAACCAATTACGGTGTGATAAATACTGTGCTGTACGTCAATGGGTTAGGCAACAGCTGTGTTTTCCGTTTTTTCCTGAATCAGCAAAACGGAAGAGTCATAAATCAATCACTTTATTTCGTGGTAGCCGTTTTCTTTCTGAAGTGCCGTTATCGGGCAGGGAGTGCTTCTTTGCACCGGCCACGTTTTTTGTTTTTAGGATTAAGACAAATAACAGCTGGTACACAAAGTCAATTAAACAATCGGCAGACACTTTGGCATACATTATAAAATATATCAGCCCATATATGAAGCTCACACAAATCATGTTTGAGAAGACTTGCGAAAAATTATTGCCATGTCCGCTCAGGATATCTCGACTACCTTAATTTAAAATAATGATTGTAAAATATTTTCAATCAAAAATGTCCTCATGTTATACGTTTGGTACCTCCAAGTCGGCGCTGATTTAATTCCTTTCATGTTGGCAGTAATTAAGTTGTTCCGCAAAAAGCTGTCTTCCATTACGATAAAACAGAAAATATAATAATCGAAAGTGGCGCTAGAATGTGTGTGCCATATACAAGAAGGTAGCGAATCGCGATATTTGAATATTAAATTTGAATTGAACATCATTGACTGTAATAGATGCGTGCGCCCTGTTACGATTTGTGGAAACGGCGTATATGCGAATTTTTATAAATTCACTATTTTGAAGCTATTATTAGGGAGTCGGCTTATCCGCGTGATAGGCGTATAGTCGAGAAAATACGGTACGTCACTTCGACTGACGCGTCCAAAGTCAAGCGGTTCAAGACAGCGACAAATTTTCAGGTTTTCCAATAGATGAATTTGGTTCAACCAATTGGCCCAGCTATTTGCATCACGTTCACATACAGGGTCGTCCCAGCCGATCTTCTTACGGCATAGATCCTGTAGCAGCAACTTAGCAGTCAACGTGACAGGAGCCCAAAATCCAAGGGGATCAAATAACGAGCTTAACGCGGACAAAATACCTCGCCGAGTAAACTCTCGATCGGGAATATCAATCTTGCACCCGAATTCATCGCTCAATGCGTTCCAATACACGCCTAGAATGCGATTAGACACACCGTCGTCCAAGACACGACTTCGCAGTTGCTTACAACGCTCGCTTTCCGGCAAACTATTCAAGACAACCTTACTATTGGACATCCATTTCGTAAGTTTAAACCCTCCTTTACTCAACAAAGAACGTAGCTGCATCACCGTCGAAACAGCATCGTTATCATTTTTGCAACTGGACAAACAGTCATCAACATAGAAGTCTCGTTTAACAATTTCTAAAATCTTGGAATCGTATTCCGCGCCGAAGTCTTTCGCTGTTTGCAACAGACAAAATGCAGCACAACTAGGTGATGACGAAGCACCAAACAAATGCACAGTCATTTCATGTTCGACTGGCTGTGTAGATAAATCTCCATCGACCCACCACAAAAATCTTAGAAAGGCCCGATCCTCCGGTTTTACTCTAATCTGATGGAACATTGATTCAATATCAGCGATAATCGCGATGTTTTTCCTTCGAAATCGGGTTAGTACACCAACCAAACTATTAACAAGGTCTGGGCCACTCATAAGCGCATCATTCAACGACAAACCCTCGGACTTGGACGCGCAATCAAAGACGATTCTAAGTTTGTCTGGTTTCTTTGGGTTTATCACAGGATGATGTGGCAATAACCATTTTGTTGGATAGATGTTCGGCGACCTAGGACTGTCAGCTATACGAGCGTATCCTTTATCAACATAATCATTCAATGTCTGAATATATTTTTGGCGCAATGTGTCATCTTTTAAAAGACGTCGCTTTAACTGACGAAGGCGATTCTCCGCCACTTTCTGATTACATGGTAACTCGCGATGATCGATTTTCCACAATAAAGGTAGTTCGTAATGTCCATCAACAAATTTGAGTTTGTCTTCCATGCAACTACGCGCTATTCTATCTTCGCGGGAAGTTTTAGTGTCACAAATACTGGGGACGTCAGCAAAATCCGTACGCCAAAGTCGCTCAATCTGCGACGCCAAAGGATTTGTATCAACAAAATTAATGGAAGTGTTTTCATAGACGGTCAGAGACGGACCCATAAGAGACCAACCCAGAGGGGTTTTCACCGCAATCGGCTGTTGACTCCGACCCTTTCTAAATTCCTCCCACACAAACACTTCGGGAACATCCGCTCCTATCAGCAAAGTCACTTCACCGTCGTGTATTCGAGGAAAGTCGATATCAGACAAATAGGATAGCTTACGCAAGGAACTGCGCGAGGGTAGCTTATTGGGCTTTATGGGCAAGTTACTGACGCACAATACATTGGGCAATTCAATGCAATCGTCATGTCCGTCAATTTCTTTAACGAGTAGAGGGGACAACTTCTTTGCTTTAACACATTTGGGACGATTACCAACAGTTTGCAATGTAACATCTATAGGCACCCCGGTTAGATTTAATTTGTTCATCAATTTCACACTACACATGGTGGTTGTAGAAGCACAGTCCAAAAGAGCGTATGTATCAAAAGCCCTGTTGCCAGCAGTTACTGTCACCGGGACGATATTCATGTAAACACCGGTGTTCCCTTGTTGCTTTGCGGGCGCCAATTTATTAGCGTGAACGTCGTGATCCGCATGGTTCATCGAGGTACCGACGGAACAAGTCTGTTTACTAATACCATCTCGCCGTGTAGGTGTCTCGAAATCGCGATGCAACAAAACATGATGGAACGGATACTTACAATCGTGAATGGGGCAACTTTCATTCTGGGTGCACTGTCTAAACATATGCCCTCGTCTTAAGCATTTGAAGCACAACTGATTCCGTCTAGCCACGTTATATCGTTCGTACCATGAAAGGACTTTAAATTTCTTACAGTTGAATAATTCGTGAGAAAATTACAACACGGGCAGTGCCAATTTGAACCACTAGCAGAAATAGCAAAAGCACTACCTTTCGCCTTAGAATTTTCATAATAATTTGATTGCCTTCTATCTTCGGGCAAAACGAAAGTCTGATCTTGAAACATTAGCTTGCTCGGTGACAAATTTAGAGAGGTCGTTGTAACTAGCTTCACGATCCTCCGTTTCTAAAATTGTTGCCACTTTGAAATCCCAAGCGTTTTGCGACTCTGGTGGCAATCGTTTAACAATGGCCAGCAAATTGTCAAAATTATTAAGATTGTCGTACTCACTGATTTCTCCAAGAACTAAGCCACATTTCCGCATCAGTCGCGCATACGCTTGCATACCTTTCGCGTCGTCAAAGTTCAACTTCGGACCACGCTTCAACCTGTCCAAACAGGTGCGGGAAATGACATGATCTTTACCATATTCATTCTTCAGCTCTCTCATAGCTTCGCGATATCCGCGACTCGGTTCCATCATTGAGCAATGATCAATGGCATTTTTCGCTTCGCCCTGGCACAGCTGTAACAAATAACTCAGACGTACGTTATCATCATCTACAAGATCTGTAACATGGGCCTTAAAGTTGCGGATAAAGGAATAATATTCCATTGGATCACCTGAAAATTTTGCAATTTCTGGTTTGGGTAGATCGACAGTTCTGCGATGTAAAGCATGGTTCAAACGTGGAGGCACAGGATTAGCTGAGCTACTATCAGCTGTGTGTGTAGGCAAAGTCGGCAAACGCCGTGGAGTATTTTCACGACCGTTATCAATGAGCTGTGATTTAGGTGGGAAATCACGGGATTTCACGCTATTGTCGTGCCTAATTCTATCTACTGTTACCCACCGCAAAAATTCGTCATCGCTCATTTCCCAAACCTTTGATTCTGTTTCAGCAGCCTGTAAAGCGTGTCTTGTCCGAAGCTTACGCAAGTCGTCTTCTAAAGCTGAGAGTTCTTCTTCTTGACGGGCCTTTAGGCGTGCCAGCTCCAACTTCACTCTTGCATTCCGGACGGAGAAAGTCGATGACGCTGAAGAACTCACGTCGCTAACGTCACTGGAACTCCTGCAAACATCTAGATGAGTTTTAAATTCATTAAAACTGCCAGGAGCATTGCTAATCATTGCCTGATGTTGGTCATCCGACCTACCACCGGTTGCCATTATTGAGAACCCGAATTAATGTTTGAAACCCTTTGGTTGAAAACTTGAGAATTTTGGTATTAACGTTAATATCATTGAAAACTTCACAAATTATGTTTGGAGACTTGAAATCGTTTGAATTTTGAAGCACGTTTGAAAACTTTTATGTCACGTCTTTTGATAGCCCGGAATCTATATCGACGAGACACAATGAAAACGTATCGAACGCGCCACTCTCAGCCCCTTTGTCCACAAACAAGACACGTGCATAAATCACTTCTTTATATTCTTGGCAAAGAACAGCGGTTTTCTTAAATAAATAAAACAAAATTGATTAACATAAGTCAAAGCATATAACAACAACAAAAGGCAAATTTCTCACCAAACGTTTTCCGATCCGGGAGGCTAATACAATTACAATATATAACAGATAAATAAACAGTCCACAATACAGACAAATATCTGCGACTCTTTACACGACGAATACGTGATGCAAATGACCGAAAGGAAAACGCTAAACCAGACAATAGATAATAATACTAATTTACGCTACAAACAAAGGGTAATAATGGGTCTACAATGATTGGATGCAAGGCAGAGCACGATGCACTGCATACAGTGGCAAAATATACGACAAACGTACGTTTACAACGTAACAGTAGATACGGCAGTTGAACTCATGTTGTTTAAGTATTTCGTTTCCTGTACTTGGCAAACTAATGAAGTAATTCAGTCATTCAACTACGATACCTTAAAATGTGTCGAGACTAATAGTTCGTTACCGATAGCCTATTATAATTTACAGCAGCTTCGTGGCTAATACGGCAGATTGCTGATTTATCTCTTGAATATTACAGCGAACGCGCAAATATTATTTAATAAAATCTTTTTGGAGTTCACGAGCTTCGTCTAATTTATGCTCTACTACTTCTTTTAATTTTTTTTGAACTAACACTGGATCAGCGTAGCATAGCATTCCTGCGGTAAAATATTATCTCGTATGTGGCGCAGTGGGTTTATAAATTATATATATATATATCTTTTTTAAATATCTGTTCCGAATATACAATTCACATTCGTGATTTTCAATGTTAATAGATGTTCATACCAGATACACGATTTATCTATCCATACACACAATAAAATAAATGTATATATCTATAAAGAAATAATGTTAAAAGAGTATTTGGTGAAGTTTTAATCAGTATTAAAATGCGAGTGAGGGAGCTTCTTTTTTGAATATTTCACCCAGGCGCAGAAGTTCAGAACTCTTATTTGAGAACAACCTCGTCATTCCGTCCCGATATATTCTCGAAATTAGTTATCGAAAAAAGGTGGAATCTATCCTAAAGTTGCCGTTCGAAAATGCAAATTCAAATTGGAATATTTATTAAATATTATTTTATTTTTTGTCCATCTCAATGTTTTATCTCGAACAAAAATGGCAACGAATATTCAGACTTATATATTATGGAGGTACTTTTCATTCATCAAAAACGTCTGCATCATTTTACTGTTTCTTTATACAACCCTGCATCATATGTCATTTCGTTAACAAATTGTTTCTTTATATTACAATGAAGAGGATGCACATAAGAATATTCATTAACTCGATATGGGAATGAATATTCACGTAGAAAATGATATGCCATAATATCATAATTTATATCATAAATAAGAGATTCTAGTACAGTGGTTCCCAAATTAGGATCCACTGACCTTTTGGGCTCCGTGAAGCACTTTCGAAGAGTCCGTGATAGAAATGTGTCACCTTTTGCTGTTTCACAATCACTGCTAGGGACACTGATTCTTCACTTTCGGTCCCGATCACGCTGCCCAATTGTGATGTCACATAGCTGGGGGCCTGTGATATCACAGAGAGAGTTCAATTAATGCCATTACAAGTTTACTGGCTGCAGAGAGAGGTGCAGCTGACGCTGCCTTTTTGCACTCTTATGGGTATAGGAGGGAGTTGCCGTAGGCAGTTTATAAAGTATGCGAGTCCGCTTCTAAATGGAGTTTTACGTTTTATATTGAAAGCTTTATGTAAGTTTTTAGCCGTCAAATTTAGCATTTGACATACAGTAACGGTAGGCCCAACTTATATTTTTACATTTTCAACTCTGTAATATTAATTTCAAGATGTCTTCTAAAATTGAAATTGAGATACGACGAATCGTATGTAAAGTAAAGGGTTTATCGGGATAAACGCAGGTAAAGAGATGTTTTTTCACTATACCATACGGCGCATTTATTTTTTTGTTGCGATCTTTTAATGTTTTATTTTAGTGCACAATGCCGCGAATCATTAAAAAAATTGCAAGAGGTCCGTCATGGAATTTTTTTTTAAAAGTTCGGGAACCACTGTTCTACTAATACAAATAATTTGATGAGCTAATTTATGACTCAAACTGTGTTGAAACGGGCCGGACAAATGTTTTTGTCAATGTAATATACGGTAATAAATTTCTAAAAGTTCAATTTATTCAACAATATAAATTCTACATTTCGGAAGTCTTGAATATTACATTCTATATCGCGAAATATAGATCGAGAACATCATAGCAAAACAAATATATATACAATATGTCTAACAACTATCCTGAGGTTAGCTGTTAACATATCAATTGCTGTCATGAATATCCGCATGTAAGCAGTACAAAAGTTAATGTGACTTGTATTATTAGCGCAAAATGCACGTTCGTTTATTTTAGCACGAGAAACTCACACAGCAACAGTTTCGCCGAAAGCACGCGCCACGAGTGTGCGAGTGCATCCTTCGCAGAAACGCTGCGTTCCGGTATAGAATTTCAGCCTATTTTATCACAGCTATTTCTAAACAATTTTTGATTACTGCGATTAAACTGCCACTTACAAGAAGGAACAATAATGATTGACTTATTTGATTCATACTTCAATTTCTGAATCACGACCAAAAACTAACGAATAGCATTCAAAATCGCGAAAACGAGATATTATTTGAACCACAACTGAAAATCTGGAGCGAAAGCGAAAAGGTCTATTGTTAGGTCACATTCTGCATCTTGCTGATTGGTCTATGTTACGAAATAAACAAGAAAGTCGATGCTCGGGGGAAACATTCCTTGGAAAAAATCTGCCATTTTTTTTAATCTTATTGCGGGCCAGATAAAAGGACAACACGGGTCGAATCCGGCCCGCGGGCCCTAGTCTGGTGACTCCTGATTTATACAGAAAGGTCTTTCACAAACCACTGTTTTTGCGTTATTTCACAAAATGGAAGAAAACGTTTCGCTGTATTCCGATTTCAACTGAACTTTCGCCTTATTTATGAGGAAAAGTCTCTAATTTCGTTATTTTTATTTTTTGAACTCTATGACAGAATAAGGAGTTCGTACTGGAGAACATTAATGGGAAATTTCCACATTTTTCTAAGAAATATAAGTAGAGTGAAAATATGCTCTTCCGGATGAACTGCATTACAAATATAAAAGCTGTAGTGTATGTCCTTATACATATAGAATACAAGACAGTTATTATGAGGTAATTTTTTAGAATGTATGATTTTTTTACAAGTCACAAGTGAAAAACAGGTACAAAAGCTTTCGTATGGTATGCAATCAACAGAACGGGAAGAGACTGTTGAGGCATATAGAGGATGAGTAAAATCGAAGAATTTGGTAGAACGATTATCAATACGGTATTTATATGCTATCGGACAAGATAGAGCTAGTTTGCTTTCAAACATGAAACAGATTTTTTTTGTTTTATTTTATTTTTATTGTTTTTTTAAACTTATCCAAGTTTTCCAGACTTCTTCTATCAGAAAGCTAAAAATAATACAAAATGCTTACAATCTATATAATTTGTGGGGACGTAGCAAACAATCAAAGTCCTATATCAAACAACACATAAATTATCTACCAAAAATTAACTTATTGCAAACGTAAAATAAGGCAACATTTTCCAGCATTTTTTTTTGTACGACACTCTTCTTCCGCTATTAGGTAACATTTGCAAAAATACATTGAAATAATGATAAAGTCTAATGATTAAAATTTTCAGTGAATGAACAGTAAGTCTGTAAGGTAAATCATTATGAAGATATTGTTTGGGTTTTCACTCACACTGCTAATTGTGTTGAATGCAACGGCTGAAGACATCGGTCCCGTCGCCGGGGGTTTGTCAGAAGAGCAGCCGATAACGGATAACGTCGCAAGACTGACCGAAGCGGTATGTTTCCGCAGTTTTGAGTTTATATGATATTTTACAAAACTGATACCTCCATATAAATATAAAAAGGTTCGGTATTTATTCAATATATTCTTCATGCTTCTTCATTAGTTTTCCCGCCAACCACAAGATTAATAACGCCTACATACACAATAATATATTCTTCATTTTAACGCTGTAAAAATTTATACAGTTGAAAGATGAAGTACTATCAAGGATCGAAACGAATGACGTGGAAACATTCGAACCAGTTTCATTCAGCGAACAAGTTGTTGCCGGCATGGTGTATTATGTGAAAGTAAGTTCGTATAAATAGAAGTTTAGAGGAGAGTGACACTTTTTTCTCTGCATTTTTCTTTTTATCATAAAATTCCATTGACCCTGAAATTAACGCACATTTTTCAGGTAAAACTTGGAGCCAAAGACTGGATTCATGTTAAATTCTACAAGCCTCTATTCAACGACCAACCTGAATTGATGGGTGTAAACGAAGATGTGAGCGAGGAATCTCCGATTGAATATTTCTGATGTTCAATGTGGTATTTGCAAATAATATATATTTTATCTCAAACCACGAGATTTGAGCAATAAAGATATATGAATTAATAATTTTGTGAAGGTTTTGTGGATTTTTTGGCAGCATGTGAGTCAAGGGTATGATTGATTACATTTTTTTTTTGCTTGAGAATACATATCATTGATGGAATAAAGAAAAAAATTTCCTAATACATTCATATACATGCAGGCAGTATAGAAATTTATAACAATAACCGATGAAATTAGTAGTTGATCAAAATTGACATGCAGTTATCATATTAAACAACAACTCGATGGGGAATATCCTATTCTATAAGATCCTAAAAATGTCCAATTTAATCAGATTTTACACTTACAAAGTGTTCATATTTACAAATCACGACCTATTCCCCAATTCCCAGTTCAATAATTTTGTTGCCAGTGAATAAAAAGTGGGTGTCTCGACGGGCCTTGTACACTTTTTTCATAACTTCTCTGCTGGGGTTTCTCGATGACAGAAAACTGCTGAGCTCGTTGCCATTGCATGGCTGTTCTCGTTAACGCTGTTCTGATATGCATTCTCCATCAGCCACTCTTACCACACATTCATTAATAGCGCCAATGGTTAGCTGTTCACGTAGGTAGAAAAGAATAGATTAGGGGAGTACCATTAAAGGTGTAGACTGTGGAATCATATATTACAAATCGACAAAGATGGTTCGATTGCAATCTAATTTCCAGAATAAAAAAGCCCAACAAAGAAATGTCTCAAGAATGGAACACTGTTTATATATGCACGGAGTTGGACATGGTGACGTCTGTCTTAAAAACAGCGTCATAAAGGTTCCGAATAAAGATTCGATGTCAGCTATTTCCATTTCACTTTTTGTTTATAATTTTTATTTTTATGTTTTTCTTTTTCCCATATCTATGTTTTTTGTCTTTGCGTTATATTAGAACATGTAGCGTTCGTTTCATATATTGACATTTCATCAATTCAGTCATATGATGTGACGTTACATAGCATTCATTCAGAATTCAACTGCCTTTTTATAAAACTCTCACCAACTCTAAATGACGAGTCAACAAACAGGTATTCTCTATTTTGTCCGTAAAATGGCCATTTTGTGTCAACTTTATTTGGATTGCTAGAGTGTAATAAAATAAAGTTGAGTTACTTATACAAACATCTGATAAATAGGAAGATAAGATAACATAATACAATTTGAAGATACAGAAACAATAGTTTAAAAATAAATAGATTTGTTCATTTGGCTGAACTGCCATGTGTTATCTACGTTTTATTTCGAGTGTAAATGGAAGGAGCGTATCTAGTGTGACCTAATGTGATAAAGATCATGACATTTTTGAAGTCATTATAAAATCAATCAAAACGGAAAAAAGTGTTAATACTCTAATTAACATTAACTAAGAATAATTTTATTTCAGCAAAGTCAATAAGCATTCACGTTTACAAAAAGTATTCAAATGAAGTCACTCACTCCGTTTTAGCCAAATCTGTTAAATATGTCATGAATTTACGACTGATTTCTTTTTCTTCCTCTGAAAATTTCGCACCAAGGACTAGAGGAGAATGCATTCCAAACGTCATTAAGATCTCATCAAACGCATTCAGCAGTTAGGCTACATTGAACAGAATTAGCAGTGCAAGTAATAGTTTAAAATATATCTTCATCGTTTCGTACTTTTCTAGACTTTTTGTGAAAACTGCAATAAGTCTAACCAAAGATTTTTCATTATACGCGTCACTTTCAAGCAAATTGTTTTACAAGTAACCTTGATAAAGTTACAATGCCGCATTCTGAATATAGACAGAGTTTATGAGTAATTGAAATTTCAACAAAAAAGCAATATACTCAAATAAAAATAGTTTAAGTCATTCAAGTCCTATTTCGCCTTTAGACTTGGATGACTTACGTAAATAGATTTTATGTGACTTTTTGACATATGAGTGGTTATTTACGAGTTTGCTTTTCGGTGATTAGTTGCGACCTTGTTTCCAGCAAATTCATATACAGTTGAGGCGTGTTTTACAATTTTAAGGTCTCAGATACATAACGAATTTAGTTGGCAACGTGTTAATTCAGTCATTCCATTTTCATTTTACTTTTCTTCCTAAAAATATCAAAACTTTTAATACATTGATGTTCACTATAATACGGGAGACTTGTTTTGACAAAGACTGGTAAATAAAGGATAATTCTCGAGCATATTTATATTCTGTCTGGCCATGAAAACGAGACAAACTCCAAACTTCGTATCCTTTATGTGGAATATGAATAAACGGAGTTTGTGCGCATTTTCGCAGAAAATGAATAGTGTTGTATTATAGGGAGAAAGAGATGAGATGTTGATGGGATATAGACTATCACCCTATATGTTTAAGTTCGATTCCCGCGTTATTGTTTTGACACGCGTTATGGAATGTGACTCCAATCTGGACTCCTTCAAACGATAATAAGCACACAGTGTTGATGCTAATCGTTGTTGTATATTATAGGAAGATGCACAATCCAAATTCCGAAAACAGATAAAACTGAGACACACTTAACTCTTAACACAGTAAATCAGGAGTGAATCAAAACACATCACACTTAACGCATTCTGTATCTAAACACAATATTACGCAGCCCTCTCGGCAAGCCGGAACGATACGTCATCAAATTGGTCGATACGAGAAAGGCAGTACATGTAATCAGTAATCAGTGTTGCTACAATAAAATGACCTATTGTGGGAAATGGAACACACCATTAAAATGAAAGGGTTAAATACATTATAATTCATAGTTACACAATGCACATTCGCTACACAATTCCCCCTCGACAGTAAAAAAAATTAACTTGATAATTTTTTTAAATTTTGGAGTCCGGCCGCCGAGAGATGAAGTAAAAGAAAACAAACACGAATTAATAAAAGATATTGGTACGATATGATGAGTAATGGTTAAGGCATACAAGAGAATATACGCCGTTTACGAGAGAAAACAAAATACGAGAAAAAAAATTCAAAGGGTCTCTCTCTATGTTGCTTAGAAATGCTTAACATTTTAAAATGGAATTGTAACAAAATAGTAAACAAAATGGCGACAATACTTGAAAGAAAGGACCTAAAAGAATGTAAAATACTTTGATGTTTAAAGGAAGGGCCTGAGAAGAAACAAATGGCGGAATTAGTACTTGATAATAAAACCGAAATTGGTTTGGTGTTAAGATTGTAAAATTGGCGTTAGAGGTTATTTGAAATAAAATAATAAGAAAAAAATCCTGTAAATTGAATAATGAGTAATTTGACAGATGATTATTGAACCATTGAATCCCTGAAATTGAACCTGAATCAAATTCTATATGAAGTAAAAGAACTCGTGATATCTAAAAAAGAGAAAAGTAATAAAATACAAAACGATTAAAGTGATAAAATACAAGATGATTAATAACGAGGCGACACATTGCGAGATACACACCATATACAACTCGCAACGACCGCCGGAATCGAGTTGACTTAATAGGGTGGGGATAAATTAAAAGGTTGTTACAGTCAAACTTTCGACTCCATTTGAGCTTGGGTGCTCGCATCTGAGAAGTTGCTAGCATTTTCCATCAATTCATCGTCAATTTCGACATCGGATAACTGGTGTATTTCTTGTTGTTCGTTGAATTGTACTACGGTTTGTCGTGGTATGCTGAGAAGTCGTTGTATTGGTTGCAGCAATCCATTTGTTAATGTACGGCGAACGGACATTCGGCAGTTTGGCAAGCTTCGATAAAGCAGGGGTACAACGAATAAAGCGTAAATGAGGCCAAATAGCGGCCACGCCTTTATGACGTAATCTGACAATGTCTTGGCAGTTGTCATTTACGTTTAAAACAAAGCCATTGTATGCACAATAGACTTCGTTTGATTCAATGCAAGATTTCGTTAGTTGAGAACAAGTTTCGAAGGTTTGCAATGATCGGTATTTCCAATCGGTAAGATTGCCCGATGCATTGTAATATAACAAGAATTCGGTAGTGTTGAATTTCGGAAAGTTGCGAGCTCTACAAGCTTTCGTATCTTCAACATTCCAAACAAATGTAAACACACCTTTCCGGCAAAAACCAGAATTGGGTGCGCATTGGCTGAGGTATTTGAACGTGTTTTTGGTTGCGCTTGACGAAGAACAGCCATGAAATGGTTCGCCAGTAGGTCGTTGTACGTTTACAAATCTTGGTATCAACATTTGTAAGAAGGGTAGATGTCTCGTAGATGTTTGCTGAACAATTCTTCATTGTATGAAGTTTGTGTCGGTTACAAATAGCTAGTTTGCGTATGTCGTAAGTCTGTCCATGTAACGATTTGTGACATAATTTCAGTGGTCCCTCAACGGCTTGCGTACTCATACAAAGCATGACAAAGCAAAGTATTGTGTAGTAAAATATGGTCATCAGATATCCATCTGAAATTCGCTGATAGAATAAAGTCTTTGCTTAAATGGCGTGGGAGTTTTCTCAGCCTTCGCGGCCGATTTGATTGTTGCTGATTTGACATTTCCGGAGACGGCCCCAGTCGATGTGCTGAATCTGTAAAATGAATTTCTGCATCGCAATTTGATCGTTTCGTGCTTGTATCGGATATCGTATCATTATTATTTGAAATATTGAAATTGAAAGTCCGTGGGCGCGAAACAGTGACATCGCTCGCCGGTCGTTCATTTGATTTGGCGCCAAGATTCCTATCCTCAATATCTGCATGCCATAGGTCAGAAGTTGGTAGGTGTGCAACTTTTAAGTTGTCAATTGAACATTCATACGGCTTTGAGTTCCGGTCGACGATAAAATGCTTACTTCCACGTTTTAAGACCTGGAAGGGTCCTTCATAGAAGTTTTCCAGTCCTTTTCTTGATCGACTGATTTTGATAAAAACATGGCTACAATTTCTCAAGTCCTTTGGTATATAAGTTTTCCTTGAAGGCTGTTTGCGTGTTGGATTTGAACAGAGATTTCTGAAAAATCTCTTAAGTTTATTTACATATGTATGAGGGTCAGTATTTGTCGCGTCTGGTTGCGGTTCCACAAACTGTCCTGGAAGGCGTAAT